ATAATCCTACAATCTCGTTAAGGAGCCACAATTCTTTCTTGTGAACAATCCTTTAGGAAAGTTTCTCTAGGAAACTCATCGAACATTGTTGTTGGGCACAAACAGCTTCTATCCGACTCGTGAAACTCGTGAACCTTTCCTGAAACTTTCGTTAGTTAGGGCAAAAGACACGAAGGAAAGAAAAATCGCGTGGAGAATTCGCGTTTTTTCGAACCACCTACCGTCCATACAGAGTAAGAAAAATCAATGGGTTCTCTTCCTCCGTAGTTTTGACGAGTTTTCTTGGAGACTACGTTGGATGGATCGATGTTTATTCGGTCGGGTGTGAAGCGGGTCGGATAAGGAGAACTGACAGAATGATTAATTGGTTCCGATTATGGAAACGAACTGCTACGTTTTTTGAAATTCATAAACTTCATTGTTGCCTAGTCATCATTCAGAAGAAAAATTAGCTATTGACGAGGAGGATTATGGCGGGAAGTTTGAACACGTGGGTTGGTGGATGAAATCAGAATATTGTTTTGCATGTTTTGGAGGATTCGTGGAATGATGGGGATGATTGGCATATTTTGGACACTGGAGCTATATGTATAGAATGTAAGAATACTTAAAGTATCCGTAGATTATAGGTATTTCGGATACTTGGGTTTTTAAGGTTAGGTAAGTCTGGGATACTTGGATTACTTTAAATTAGAGTATTTAAGATGCGTGAGAAACTTACGATACTTAGGATACTCGAGATGTCTAAGATATTTAGAACATTTAAAGTATTAGGAGTACTTAAGACACGGTATTTAAGTTATTTAAAATTCCCAATGTGGAATAGGTAAATTATTTGGACTAAGTAAAATACTTAGAATATTTAGGATAAATGGACTACATAAACAAGTTAACTACTTTAGGCTATTTCTTTGCACTATACTTAGATCTTTTTAGATACTTAATATATCTAACTAAGATATAAAAAATTTCTAAATCAATTACGATATTTGGAATATTTGGAATATTTTAGGAACTCCTGAAACTTATATTTAAAACTTATACTTTTAATAGTTAGATGATAGTTAAACTACTTATTTGTAATAAATTGGCTAACTAAACTTACAAACTTTATACTTTATGTCTTATTATTAACTTAAGAGCAAATAGGAAATTGGAAAATATATCGTGAATATTATTCGATGAATATTTTAGAAAAAGTTCCGTTGTCCCATGTGGATTTCGTGTGGGTTGCACATTTCTACACATCGATCGAGTCAGCTTACGCACGCGCATCCACGGATTCTATAAACTTATGAAAGAAAAAGATATTTTTTAATAAGACTGAACCTCTGATTAATCCTTTGATTCATCCTCATCTCGTTATACAGCGAGAATTTAATGTCCTCGGTTTTATCTCGTGAAGTGTATAATATCAAGATGTACATCTGTCTGCCTAAAGGAGAAGTTTACATAGAACTTTTCCAAGCAGGCGAACTTATATTAAGCTAACAAAATTACACGAATAATATGAAAATAGTTGAAATCGAGATGAATTCTTTCGATTAAAAATATTCACTGTATACCTCTTTATGAGATCGACCAGAAGTCGTATTTTACTTTTACGAGAATGCCCAGAAAAGAGGGATACTATAAATGTTCCTCAATTCCGAAGAACTGAATAGAAGTCTCATAACGTCAAATAAAAACGGATCAATCCTTATCTAAAGTAAAATAAATCTTTTCCTTCATACATAACCGATTCTCAGTTATCGAAAGACATACTTGCAATTGATCTATGTGGTTATCTAAAATTGTGAAAAGCGTGAAAAGCTGTTATACATCAATCGATAAGTTTCATAAATCCTTATCCTGTAGTTATACAAATTAAAAATTTTTTAAAAGAATTACTTATTAGCAAAATTTAATTGGTAAAATGAATTACTCAAAATAAAGAGAAGAAAAATAATAATAGTAAGAACGGCAAAAATATAGAAAAATTCCTAGCCAAAAGTCACGAATGCAACAGTATCTGCTTACATACTCTAATTAACCTCGTCTGTCACCCTCAGTACGCTCTTCGAAGAATCCAAATGTACCTCTTCCAAGAAATAACCCCATAACCTCTACCACAAATTTGGGTTAAATAGCACGCGAATAGTTGAGCAATATCAAGTTTTATTGTATCTTTATGCTAATCAACGACAGAAATTTGCGAAATTAGCTGGGCACAGACGCGGACCTTTTTAGCCAACGAACCACAACCCCGATATGGGGTCTCGATATTTACGCGTGACATATATCGTTGGTTGGAAACTCGTGTACGCAATCCGGACAATGGTCGGTTTAATGGCACTGGATTTGAAGCGAAGTGTGTCCTAGAAAATAATTCTCATGATCAACGTGAGCCCCCCAGCGATGTTAGGCTACCTGGGAAAGTGATTCGCGTCTAGTCTTCGTGGATTTTCACTTTCGAATCGATCCACATGATCGATTGGACGAATTGGAAAGTTTCACGTTTGATTGGTTGCATCTGTTAGGAGCTGCGAAATGAAAGGCAAAACAGTAATTTCGCACTTTTTAATCCTTTCAGTTCTTTTGAACTGGTTTTGCTATGGGTACTGTCTGTGGCAAAGATTGCTCTGGGCTAGAGTATGTACTTGGAATGTCTGGTGTATTTAGAGTTATCAGGATATTACATTGGATAATTGAAGTACTCTGAGTGTTTAGGATGTTTGCAAATTTTACTCCTGTCACTTTTAATCCTGTCACTTAGTTATGAGTAGTTTGTTCTGTTGAGTAGAGACTGCTTTTGACCAAAATATTTGGGGGACTTGGAGGACTTGGCTAGCAATGGATATGTAAGACATTTAAGCTATGTTGAACGTTTAGAGTACTTTTTAAATTCTTTTACTTTCGGTGCTTTTTTAACGCCTTTACTTATGTTTTAGACTATAGTACCTGAAGTTAAGATATATAGAATATTTAAAGTACTCTTGCGAGTGTTTATGATCCTTAGGTTATTTAAAATATTAAAAATTTTTAAAACAGATATCTTAGGGTACTCGAAATGCTCAGAGTACCTAGAATATTTAGGGTACTTGAAATAATCAGAACGTAGATATCTAAATTACTTAAGATATTCAGAATACTCGAGTCACTCGGAATACACTGAATATTCTCAAGTACTTTGAGTACTAGAAGCATTCGAAATACCTAGAATACATTGAAGATGTAGAAAATTTAGAATACTCTAAATTTTCAAACTATTTTGGATACACAGAATCTGTTTACAATTTCAAAAGTATTTAAGCTACACTGGTACGTGAATAATAAGTACTAGAATAATAGATATAGGAATATGAAGTCAGGCCTTAGCCTTTTAAACATACGGATACATTCGAACATTCATTCTATATCTGTGGTGTTCAAGTGGCTACGTGCTCGATATCGGCAAATTTATACGGCCGTTAAGGGGTAACCATCACGTAATTGATACTATACCGAGGATAACTTGCCCACCGTCAGCTGGAAAATCACTTTACGGCCAGATAAAACGAACGATATTTGAAATGACGACAGACAGAATTTTCCAGATTTACCTGTACTGTGCAAAAATGTATGCTTTCGCTGGTGTATCTGGAAGCTTCAACGCCGCAGTCTCCATACACCTTCGAACGCACTGGAAGACCGAAATACATAATCATATGAAAATTTCTATCAAATTCCATTCTTCGCACACGATAAAATATTTTTCCAATTATTTTAATCTAAAAGAATCCATAGTCATTAATAAATTTGATAACAGCACAGAAAGATCGATTAAATACTTACTACCTCACACTACTTTCACAAAGCTCCAACAAATTAAAAATAATTCTAAAAAAAGTGAATTCTAAAAAAACGAAATAAAAGCGATTAAAATTTATTATTCTAAGAACGAATTGATACTTCCTGTACTTTAATCCATTCACGAGTCAGTGTCCGAAAGCGGTCTTAAAGCTCCATTTAACTCACTAGCGCCACCATGGCTCATATCTGCAATAAATGTTTATCGTAAATATCGCATATGTGGTTGAATTATTTTTTACTTTTATTGATATAATCTTGGAATTTCACGTACTCTTAACGAAGTTAAGGAATAGGTAATTTCGAGAGACCTGGTATATGGAGAACCGCGGAGTGCATCGAAGTAGAATCAGTCTGTCGTAAACTCGGCGCGTCTGCTGTGTCTCGTGAGGTGGGTGTGAAATTGGGAAGACAGCTAAGCAAGGAGGGCTCGTCAGGAACGTTTGACGATGGTTCACGCTTGAAAATACAGGGCGTACCGACGGCAGCCAGTAAATTTTCAGCTTTACGAGTTCGTACTATTTGCATTTTTCTCGTTTCTTCCGTTCCTTTTTCCTCCTTCTCTTTCTCTTCTTTTTTGTTTTAGTTTTTTACCTCTTTTCCTCAAACCAATTTCCTCTACGCAATTTAGGAACGATCTATCGCGACGTGCAGTTGTTCTTTCCTCTATTTCATACGATCCAGCTTGCTTTCCATTTTTAATCCGTCAAACCTTTTTAACTAGGTTCTTCTTTCTTAGCGAGGAACAGAAATTAGAACTCGTTATCATTATTTCTAATGGAACAATTATAAACTGACAGTGATAAAAGAAACTATAATAATAATATATTATAAACGATTAAGCGAGGAAAGGATACGTAGGAAAATTGTAGATCTATACAGGGTGTACTATGTAACGTGATCACCTCGATTATCTTTAATTACTTAGTTACTGGAGGAATAGTAAATACTTGTTTTGTTATAAATCATGTGGTGTGAAAGAATAAGAATAAGAAGATAATGTTATATACGAGAAGATAATGACACTTGATATTTGATAAGTTAACCGTGTTATTGGAAACAGGAAAGCTCCTCTTATTAAAAATGAAACCGATCGAATTAGTCCACCCTGTATACCTGATATATTACGAATTCAATCGTTACACGGTACTTCTTCAATTGAACTGTTACAGAGACCTAACAAGCAACAACATAACAAACATTCCAGCCCGTGCCTTTCATCGAATTATCAATCTTGAAGTGTTGTAAGTACGAGGACGAAACTCGTGAAATGCATCTTTCACAGTTCATTATTCTTTTCAGATTACTTCGACGAAATCGTTTACACACGATCGCCGACGATGCATTTACGAACTTAACGAGCCTTCGAGTATTGTGAGTGTTCCGCAAATCGCACAGAAATTCTTGCAAAAATGAAAAAAAGAGAAAGAAAAGAATAAACCCTGTAGATTGCGTTCGTAACAAATTTATTTGCTTGAATAAAAAAGTTGAGGGGGAAAAAAATGACGGAGGCCAGACAATCCGTTGTGAACAAAGAAAAAAAGAAAAAGGGATCACGTGTAGTGTCCGCGATTTTGAAAAAAATATAATTCTCTGTCTGCTTTGTAGGGAGCTCGATGACAATTATTTAACAAAAATTCCAACCGCGATCGTAAAGCTCTCTGGCCTTGAAGACCTGTAAGTGTGCATCGATTAAGTAAAATGTAATTTGACAACTTTTTTTTACATTCTATGAATACCACTTCCTTATCCGCGTTTTCTTCGACTAAAAACATTCGTCACGATATATCTCGTCGAAGAAATCGAAGCCATTTTCTTCCCGTCTTGCAGATGGAAACTGTTCCACTGTTAAATCATCATCACTCTATATTCCTAGAAAATCTTCTTCAAGCGATAGCTTCCAGTTTTATTAAATAAATAAATATAAAATATAAAATAAAATATAAAATATAAAATATAAAATAAAATATAAAATAAATATAAAATATTTTTCAGGAATGAAAAATTAAAATTTATATAGAGTGATTATGTTTGTTAAAGTCTATGAACTTTTTTCCATTTCTTTTGTATTTTTCCTTTTCCAATGGAAAGAAATATAAAAGAAAGATCAAAGTAGATAAAAAGTAGAATCGTGAAAGAAAGATCGATGCCGGTCCTTTTGTTTCCCGTTTTCATCGACGCGAAGGAAGCCAAGAAAGTCGTATTCGTGTATGTTCCGTCGATTCCGTAGGTCCCTGTCGAACAACCGGATCGAAACACTGGAGGAGCACGTTTTCCAACGTATCTCTAATCTACTCTCCCTCGATCTACGGGGAAATCCTATCAAGGAAATACACCAGAACACTTTCCAAAATCTACAGAAACTTCGTAAACTGTAAGTATAGATATTTCTGCAAACAATTTATTATCTCTATACCTCTTAATCAAGTTATAAATAAATTTCTATTGTAAAATCAAGAAGTGATTAAATAAAATGAATGTAGAAAAATTTATACGTTTTTATAATTAAAAGCGAATAATGATAACTATTATTGTCAATAATTGTAATAATAACAACAATATTATTGCAATAGTTATTGTTAATATTAAATATTAGTTATTATCAATAGTGTATATATCTAAATAATTTATAAAATAATTAAATTTGATGTACATTTCAACAGCGTGTGAGTTAATATTTTTATGTCGAAGAAACTAGAAATTATTTTATAACACAAAGAAAATAAAGTAGCAAAAGATATTTATGTTATAAAATTTAGTTTAAGCAATCGTTACTCTAATGTATCAGGACCTAATATTTTCCGTAATGTGGACAGCATATACTAGCTATAGTTGGCGCCGAAGATATTCACAGTTCAAGGGCATTGAACTAACCTCTCCCGCTATATAACTTAGTTACTTTACTACCCGTCATGGTGGCTCCCTCTGTGTCGCTTAATTGCTCTCTCCGCATGATTTAGTTTCTTTTCCACGTCACTTATCATCTTCCATTCCTCTTTATCGAAATTTAAAAAAAGGAATTATTTGTATTTTAAGAATTATAATAAGACAACTAAAACCATTAGTCAATAGTATAAAAATGAATATCCGTCTTATTTACAGCAAAAAATATTTTCAATGGATTACTATTATGGAAGCTTTTGATTCATAAATAATTGAATTTAATAGAAATAACATAAAAATATTTCTTACAGGATCCTTTCGAATTTGAAAGAATTACGGATATTCCCGAATCTAAACGGAACAAAATCTTTGGAAGTATTAAGATTAGATCGTGCACAAGTGACAAATGTTCCAACAAATTTATGCGAACAATGTCCAAAATTGAAAAGTCTGTAAGTAATCCAATTTTATGTAAGTATAATAAATATTAATTTATAGAAATGCGTCAGCTTCGATTTATCCAAAACCGCGTTATATTATATTAATCTTATAATTAATAGATCCATCTAATAATTTAGTTTACGTCAGACTGACATCACGTAGATACAATACGATGAAAAATTGACGAAGTTAAATTGATCAGTAAATTCATTAGTCTGTATCTCTATGTGAACTGTCCAATGTACATCAAATAAAATTATACTATAGTAATTAATCCCAAATCGAATTGTATCGACAAAATTTCAACATAAATGAAATGGAGTTTCACTTGAATGATATTTAAAATGAAATCATTAATTAGTTAATTAATTCATAATTAAACTTCAATTTCACATTGTTCCTTTTATAAATATTTTTTGTTTTGTTTTCAGTGATATGAAATCGAATTTTTTAACAAAAGTGCCAAAACTACGAAATTGCAGCGGCCTACGAGTTTTGTAAATATTGCACAAAAATAAGGAAATAAGTATTTAATAGGGAAAATTAAATATATAAAAGGAAAATTGGTTTTTCCAGGGATCTAACCAGTAACATGATTCCGTCGTTGCCAGATGAGCCATTCAAAGGTCTGAATATGTTGCACGACCTGCTTCTATCAAACAACAAGTTGCAAGTGATCCCTAGTGACGCGTTCACCGGTTTGTCGAGGCTGCAAGTGTTGTAAGTGTCGTCGCTTGCAATTACTCCCACGTAGATAGCTCACCGTTATCGTCTTGGAAAACAGAATTCTATGTTTCAGGGATCTAGAGAGCAATTACATCGAGTACATACACCCTGACGCGTTTAAAGAGACGAAACATTTAGAGGATTTGTAAGTGCAGAAAAGATATCTGCTATTAGAAACTTGTAATCTTTCCTCTACGAAATTCTAGACAGAAAATTGACAATTATTCGGAGTGAAAATTCTGATCATCTTTCTTTTGCAAAATTTCTCTGCAAGTATTTATTGCTGATTTTCTCGATCTTAGAAATCTCGGGAATAACGTGTTTCCGGCACTGCCAACGCTAGGACTATCCGGCCTATTGCACCTTAAGACGTTCAACAACCCAGCACTAAGGGAATTCCCAGCACCTGAAAGATTTCCACGTGTGCAAACGATGGTACTGTCGTATGCTTATCACTGTTGCTCGTTTCTGTCAATCGAGGTGGAGGATCCGGTAACGAAATCCTCCGTTCAAGAGTCTATCCTGTTCCCCACTGACAATGACTTCGATATGAGCCTGTGGAACTCGAGCTTCACCGATATCTGGCCACAGCTCAGTAAGTAGTTTAATGGACTGGTTCCCCGATTGAGATCTTTAGAGCTTTCATGGTGTGGGTCCTTGAAGTTGATACTGTTCGAGATTTTTCTCGTTTATCTGATACTGTTGCTTTAAGGAAGCCTGCTTTTTTCTCTTTAAGTTATTGCAATTTGCAGTGGAATATAAAGTTCAATTAATATTTCCTTTTTTTCCCTTTTACTTCTTTTCTTAAATTATGTTCTATTTTTTTCTCCTTTTCTTCCTTTTCATCAACACTGCTCTTTTCTGCGTTACACCTTCGTTTGCTCTTTCTCAAAATCAATGTTTTAACGATACCAAATCAAATGTTAGTCATTAGTGATCTGTGAAATTTTTATAATTTCACTATTCAACGAAAACTAAAGAATACTCTGAGCTGCATCAACTAAAGGTTCCTCTACTTGTTCTATTTCATCGTCACTAACCATCGTGTCACAACACCTCTCACAACAGTATCAACATACTTCACTATATCTCTGCAGTTCAATAAAAGAAGTAACAAGTTTTCCAAAATTGCCACTTTGTTAATCTGTTTTGACGAATATAGTAAATATTTTACATCGACCTGTCTTACGAAAAGTTATGCCAAATTGAAACAGTTTTATTGTGTTCAAAATTCAGCTTGTTACATTTTAGTTTATGAGTCGCTCGACACTGAAATGCTGCAAAGCGCAAGCTGTATATGTTTACTTATATTTTTTATGTAAAAATACAAGCTGTTTGTTATAAACATTCCTAACTTTGATCTACGTACAAACACCGTTTTTGCATACGTATAGGACAATTTCGACGCTCGAGCTTTTAATATTTAATTTCTGTTTCGGTCCAAAATGAAAGATAGTACTTAAAGTCAATCATGTAACGTTTACATGGCTATCCATAGCGAATCTAAAAGTAATCTAATTTTCCAATCAATAATAATAATCAATAATTGTGATAATTATTATATAATAAATATTATATATTTAATTAATGACAACATTACTAAAATTTATTTCAAAAATTTAAAGAGACCTATATTACTATCATAAAATATACCATTTTAGATACGCTATTACTAGAGATTCCCATAAGATCGTGTACAAAAGCACAAATTCATGGAAACATACATTCTCCCATGCGAGAAATCATCTAGTTATTTCTCTTCGATCATAGATTCGTTAAAAAAAAAATAAATAAATAAAAATAAAAAAAAATAGAAAAATAGAAAAAATCGACTTTGCAGCACTGAAGTGATAACGTGTTTTAGATAACATGACCGACAAATTTGGCTCGCAAATAAATGAACTTTGGGCTAACTTTGGTTCAGATTTTACGTACCCTGGTAACCTGCCCTCATATGTTGAGGATTATTTTGATGAGCAGAACAGCCGAGCTACGCTGCCAGCTCAGACACTGCCTTCTCACGTACAGTGTCTACCCCAACCTGGTAATTTTAACACGAATCTCCTTTTAAATACTCGGAAAACGATTAAATTAGAGTGTAAAAGAAAATAAAAATATCTCACGATTTTCAGGTCCTTTTCTGCCATGCCAAGATCTCTTTGACTGGTGGACTCTTCGTTGCGGTGTGTGGGTAGTATTTCTGCTCGCTATGCTTGGAAATGGAACCGTAGTATTTGTGTTAATATTCTCCAGAAGCAAGATGGATGTTCCTCGATTTCTAGTTTGCAATCTTGCGGCAGCAGACTTTTTCATGGGCATTTATCTAGGTCAGATTATAAAAATATATCCATAGGAAATGCAAAAGTGTAAAATTATTTTCTACACGAGATTACTAAGTAGCATATCCCCTTTCGATGTATGTTCGGTATTTAATTTTACAGTTTTAAATATATTTTGTAATTTTAGGTCTACTAGCGGTGGTGGACGCTTCGACGTTAGGAGAATTCCGGATGTATGCCATACCGTGGCAAACTTCCGCTGGATGTCAGCTAGCCGGCTTCCTAGGCGTTCTTAGTTCCGAATTAAGCGTATATACGTTAGCAGTGATTACTCTAGAAAGGAACTATGCCATAACGCATGCTATGCACCTAAACAAGAGACTTTCCCTCAAACATGCAAGTTATATAATGACTGTAGGATGGTGTTTCGCTCTATCAATGGCAAGCTTGCCCCTAGTAGGCGTATCGGATTACAGAAAGTTTGCTATATGTTTGCCATTTGAGACTAATGGAAATGCAGCGTTGGCATACGTAATCTTTCTAATGTTGATCAACGGAGTCGCATTTCTCATACTAATGGGATGCTATCTGAAGATGTACTGTGCGATCAGGGGCTCTCAAGCATGGAACTCGAATGATTCTCGAATTGCCAAGAGGATGGCTCTGCTGGTATTCACCGACTTCCTCTGCTGGTCCCCCATAGCGTTCTTCTCGTTGACTGCCACGTTTGGGTTGCAGCTGGTGTCACTCGAACAGGCGAAAGTGTTCGCTGTATTCGTGCTACCATTGAACTCCTGTTGTAACCCATTTCTGTACGCCATCTTGACCAAACAGTTCAAGAAAGATTGTGTACTTATTTGCAAAGCGATCGAGGAGTCCAGGGTGACCAGGGGGATCGGCAGATGCCGGCATAGCTCTAACTTCAGCAACAGACAGACTCCCGTAAACACGAACAGTCTGGTGGACAGGTCATCGCGAGAGAATCAAACACCCTGTGCGTGTAACTCGAGATTACTTGAAACTAGCCAATATTCTGGCTACCGTCGATGGGGTACCAGGATACTATGGCCCTGCGCCAGGGATACGAGACCCAGACACGCACGTAACGACCAGTACGCTTATCAGATTGCAGAAATCCAACAAAAACAACATAAACGAGCCTCATCTGTATCATCCAGTGAAAACTTCTCCTCATCTAGATCGGATTCTTGGAGACAAACGCATCATTGTGGTATTCCATTGAGATTACTGGATCCTAAACGGAGAGCTTCTTCGTGGTTGATTACCAGAAAACCATCACAAGACTCGAACCTCAGTTCCTCCAGAAATGATTCCTCCGGTTCTGCTACCACTGCCAGCACCAGTACCTGGAGAATTTCGAGATCTAGTGCATCTCTAGAGGTAACTGCAAGAAACACTCCTAGACCAGCTAGGTCGAAGCCAAGACTGACTCGTCAGCTGGCCATTCAGGAGCCAGAACCACCTGGATCACCAAGTAGGTTAGCTGTCAGACTCCTAGCAACTATACCCTCTGCCGCAGAGACCAGTGACCAGCAAGAAGACGATAATACACCACAGAATTGAATAATTTTGCGCGTACCTCGGTTTATTAGAAATTAGAGTCGATTATAATAGACTAAAAGTATGGGTCTTGTTGCTCCCGAACATTTTCAGTATTAAGTATCCTCTAAGAGAGGTGTGAGAAGGGGAAGGATCACCCAGTACATTGATGATTCTCATTGTCGTATGTTTGAGATTATATGAACGGCGAAAAGATGGACCATTTAGTGGGGCTTCTTCTTTCAACATATACACTTAAATGTTGTTTTTGAATTATTTAAAAATATCGAGTTTCTATGTTTTCGTTTTTCCTGGATTGTTTCTAACGAAGAGTCTTTCGTACCGAAAAATGTTTAAGATATTGAAAGAGGAAGAGTAAAATCGTATTTTCATTTTCTTTGTCTATTTATACTAGTTTTGGATAGACGTGCGAACGATGTTGTAGATCGTTTGGATTCGAAGAAACAATGCAACTTCGATCTTTATTGACCGTCCGTTACACATGCACGTAAGCGAGTTGTATCGAGAGCGTGCAATTGATCAATACAATAGTCATATTCATTAAATACTGCCAAGAATTTTTAACACGTTGACTGTTCAAGGAATTTTATATTTATACTAACATTTTATAATACTGGCATTAAAATGCTGTTCTGTTTAAATAATTTTAACAGAAGGGAGTATTCGAGTGGAGAATTTGATAAAATTTTTTTATGCATAATATTTATATAAGTATACCATAGTCGCAAATAATTTTATCAGATATAAAATTTTAACTAAATTCCACGACAGGCAACGTGTTAATTTAATAATATAAATTTAATAATGTAATTTAATAGCATAAATTTAATTTGTCAGAACAGGACATAGTATTCTTTGTATCTCTTTGTTAAGGTTGTTCGTCTCAATAACAACTCGAGCGTTTCTTTGTCCATTGGTTAAAGGGAAATCTATTGATCACGGGGTCAGTATTTAAAATCCATCGTTCGATTGTTAATAGATATGTTTACGTTTTCATAAGACTGATGGTTTATACAATTTCATCCCATAACTCTGGAGTCGATTTCTAGTTAAAAATCTGGACACGTAATACGATTTATAATCGAGTATCATGATACCAGCGACGAATTATTCAACGATTAATTTATTTGTTAATCATTAATCATTATGGTCGATGAATTCTCAAATAGATTAGAGTAGAAGATATATAACATAGTCGATGAATGAATTTTCTAATAATTTTTTGGTATGTCTATGTCTTTGTGACAAAAAGAATCATGATAAATTGAATTACGTGACAGTATATAATTCTTTGAGAATTTATCGACCAACTTAAAACCCTATCTATCCATTGTTGCGTTCATTAACTGCGATGGTAAACGGCCATAGAGTTGTGCAGCTATAGTAACTTAATCGTTAGGTCACAATTAGACCACTCTAGCCTAAAGACTATTATAAGATCGTTACGGCGTGCAGATGTTTATACATGGTTTTAAATTAATGACAAAGATATTCACTAGTATTAGTTACCAGACTTATTTGTTATGAGTGCGTTATTCGTTCTTCGCATGATTGTTCCCATATGATTGTTTATTGCTGTTTGAGACCTCCAGATTGTAATTCTCGTCTTTTAAAAGGACATTTCAACGTTTCATCCACTTTATTAAATGTAAGATACTTTTTAGCGTTTTATTATAATTAAAGAAATGCTAGAGACTAATTTAAAAAAGATAATATGGTCTTACTATAATAGTAAGCTATAAAAGAAGATAACACCACCATAGTTTGTTAAATCTGTAATATATCACTGTACTTTTAATACGGACAAAATTACTTGCAGTGATAGATTTTAAGATGCTATTTAAAAACAAAAAAAAAAAAAAACAAGATTTACATCTGAATGTCTTAAACTGTATAAACGCTAAGGACCTAAGCCACGAAAGGCTAAAAGTTCTAATTTACTGTAATCATTTCAAAATTTCGTCGGCAATCGTCACTGACGTAACACCGATGTATGTTTTGCGCGTGTGTCTGGTCCGATCTATTTAATAACATTTTTCTAATAAAACAGCGCATTACAAAGAACAGAATTGTTATTGTTGTATTCCCTTGGAATATAGAAAGAAGACTGGATAATATTAAAAGAAGAAAAGGAAAAGAAACGGAAGTCAAATTAAAACTTCCGATTTTTGTAGAATTTTTTTATTTTTGGAAAATGTCTCTGTCGCGTTGCAAGAAAGACCTATCTTGCCGTTAAAACGACGAATAATATAACATTAACATCGTAGGAATAATTTAAATATTTATCTAAAATAAATTCAACTTTGAATAGCCCGCACTTTTCGCACAGACGCGAAAAAGACGAATCAAAAATTCGGAATTTACTTTTGCATTTGTTAATGTGACGTTAGATAATTATTGACTATACATAATTTAAAGTTCAAGTCATACTTTTGGCTGGTAGTATACGTAAATTACAAAGTAACGGGTATTTTTAAATTATACACGTATTCTTTCTTTCTCGCATTCTATATCTTTCATTCGTCTGTTCATTCTTTACCTCTACTAATAATACGTAAATTGGAGTCAGGTTTCAATACCAAGTAACATTAACAAGATATATACAATCTTAAAAAACTGTCCTTTATAAACGTCACTCGTAATTACAAAACACGTTCTGATAGAAGATCCTAAAAAATTCTAACAAATTCTAACATGTATATATGGTGATCTTTCACAGGTCCACTAAGTACCAGCATCTGTTTTATTGTGCTTGATCTTCATTTGCTAGAACTCAAGAATTTTGTTATCGCTCATAATTTTATCATAATTAAATTAAAAATCACAATAAAATCCTTTTCATAATTAAAACTCATAATTAAAAATCCTTTTCTTTCTATTTTTCTTCCCTTTTTCACATTTCCCTTTCTATTTTCTCAACATTTTTGAATTTTCACACCACTTCAGTCATTTCAGAATATACAAAAAATTTCCTTTTACAACATCTGCAATTTTTATTTCGCATTTTTTCATACTTCGATGACACCTTTTCCTAATCTTTTCTTTTTAACTTTATTATTTTTTAGAACTTTTAATATATTAATTCAGTATTGATATTAATATAACGTAATTAAGTGCACTTCGCAATCTTTTTCACGCAATATATAAACCTGAGGATTATATAATATTTTCTAAAGAAACTTTCGAAAAAGATTTTTTATTAAACCGTCCCCACGAGTACATATGTTTTTCCTCCAATTTGGATATACGGAAGACATTGCAATTAGCATAGTTGACAGGAAGAATGAATGAAAAATCGAAGAAAATCAAAGTGTATCCACGGGGGCCTCGAACCCTGATTTAATTGTGGTAAGGTTGAAGATGATATCACCTGGGCTAACAACTCGATTCATATATCCTTTATTTTCGGATATAAGGTATTATACATATGTTCATTGTGTTTCCACAAATTTACGTTTATCATTTTAGTATCGTTTTCCCAATAAATTATATTACGAATTTTCAAAAATTATTAATTACTTTCAGGAATGGTTAGCATTATGTATGATCACTTAAGGACTATTACAATTGTAATAAAACAAAAGGACTACGAGAAGGGATACATATAATGCGTAAAATATTCACAACCTGGAAAATCTTTTCAAAGCTGGTACTTAATGGGTCGACCGTGAAGAAAGACACTAAAACCAAGCTGACACATTTTATTCTCATACAAATTCTTGGTGTTCGCTTTATTTACACAGTCCTCGATGGCTCTGCGTTCGTTTGAATCTCTTAAACAGAAGTACTAACAGAGGGGCCATCGTTTATTGAGTAGATGAACAGGTCTTATCTTTTATCACTATAAATCGTTCCGTAATCATATACATATCGTGTTCGATATTGCAATAGACGAAATGTTGTCTTACAAGGACGGTATATCATTTCTCGGACGGTCTGTGATTCCTTTTGCAGTCAAGAAAATCCAGGTTGAATGGGAGGAATATATTCACGATTCAACGAGAAGGGGAGTAATGTAACAACGTGGTTGATAGAATTGTCCCTTCGTTTTTTCGTGCATTTTGACTCTTATTATAGGTGACACTCATAAAGACACCATATGATTTAATGAACGACTTAAATCGTCAGAGTGAGTTACTTCGTTTGCATCAAACAGAGGCATAATTTATGCATCGTGTATTAACAATATTTCTTCCAATCCTGCTGGAGAACACGACTGTCGCACGTTTTACATATCAAAGTGGCGGGATTTTAATTTTTCATCTATTGCAGCCTTAAATTTGTAGTTTGAAATAAGACATTTTATCATTTTAAAAGGTTTACAATGCAATTTCTTTTCTTTTCTTCTTGGAATAATAAAAAGAACCAGGATAGAAATTTATTTATAAATTTTCCGTTGTAGAAGACCGCGAAAGGATTAATTGACACACACTTTTGAATTTAACACAATGTCTACCTACCATTTTGATTGGTGAGATTTTACAAAATTTTAAATATGTTCTAACTAAAGGTTGGACCATTTTTTAATGCACTTTCACAATGATACAATGATAATAAAATTGGCAGGTCCACACAACTGGTAAACAGTGTGTCTTGGTAGAATATTTATTACAATAATCCGGAAGCCCTCGCAAGCTGTAACATTTCGTCAATGTTAAAAGTTCGTCTGAATTCTTAGTGACAATAATCATTAGCTCTGCTACTATCTACTAGTTAAGCCTAAAAACTTTATTCGACTTATTCCTCGTGTATGAATATTAATCGAACTTGGTCCATTGAACATCAGATCCCTTCGCCATTACACTTATATAATACAGGTGTTCTTACTATTCGAAGCTTCCAAATATAATCCCCGAGTGAGTATGCATATTAAATGATTAATATTTCGATAATATGATATTTTAATTATTTTATTTTATTAATCCTTACTTTAATTAATACCTTACTTTTTTAGGTCCTTGGAAATTTTGTTAGATACTCGTACGTTTATGACTGTATACCTCGAAACTCGATACCTCTCTAAAATGACATCTTTAATACCTTCGGATAAGATACGTTAGAAACTGAATATCTAATAACTAAATTTAGAGATAATCTCCATGCAGTTACACGTTTGAACGTTAACTCTGGAAACCTCCAACAGTATATCAACTGTAAATACATTCTTACATAATTAACGTGTCAGTACTAACAAGTTTCCCTAAGTAGCTTCTTCAAAGGGTCACGTGATCTCTGTCCAAGTATACCTTTCAAGCGCCAAATGTACGACTTAAGCCCTCGAAAACAGCACTTTGCTCATGATTATGTGTTATTTATATCAGAGAAAAAATCAATCGGCCCTGAGGTACAAATGTGTCAGTTTGCCAGTTGAGGAGGAGAGAACTAAGTGTCAAGTGGAACAATAAGCTGGCGGAAGGAATGCGCATTGCGTAAGAAAAAGAAAGGAGGAAACAAAACGGAATTCTATTTTTACGAATAGCTCTGGGATACGCATAAATCGCAGTGTGGCGAACGAAATCCACTACTCTTGGAGCCAGGTGAAAATACACGACAAAGTAAACGCACATTGTTAAAAACATTGGATAGCACAAAAGAGAAGGCGAAGCGGAAGTGATCGATTAATCGTGCAAGCATCCGGAGGAACCATTAAAAGAAAGAAAAAAAATAAGTATTTGTATTCCACAAATTTTCGTATTTATAAATTTCGAAGCTTTTCAAATCTTGAAAATTTCCTGTGCTTTTTAACAATCGACGAATGCAGTGAATCGTTTGATAAAATTTGTAATTACCAAATTTTGCAGAGTTCCTCTTCAAATGATAAAAACCGATCCGCGGAAAGCTAATCTATGCGAGGAGGAAGACACTTATTAAAATTGGCTATTACAGCAACTTTACGCATTCGTGTGACACATGTCGATTAAAACTCGAGTTAAAATCTTATCACACTCTCATTCTTTACACGGATACAAGTTTCAGAGAGTTCCAGCCTCACCGCGCTTAAGCTTCTACGTATATACTTACACACACATATCATGCATGTGTATGTATATGTGTTTTTGTGTGTATATATATACACGTACATACATATGTAAAAAAAGAAAAATATGGTAAGAAAGGAAGAAATCACTTTATCCTGTATCGATATACGTTGCCACGTATGGCAACCATAGGGAATTATGTGTACCATAGGGAAGCAATAATAAGTTAATACTACAATCTGTCTAACAACAGTCAGTCACGCAATGTCATTTTCTTAATTGCAAATTATTATCTTCTCCTCCTTTTTATATACTCGACCTTCAACATCTTGTTCAACATCTTCAAACTATTTGACATTAGTTCATTTATAATATTACACTTAAAAAACTTATTTTACTAAGTTCTGGTAATATTACGAACTTGCAGAATTGCTGCATAATCTTTTAATTCTGTTCAACGTCTTTGTTGATTACAGTATAAATAGTATAAAGGAAGCCCTGTAAGTCATGGAGTTAAAGTGGCGAGGAGAGACCCGATGGCTTTGAATGACTAACTGATTTCAAACAGACCATAACCGTCTAAACACTAAAAAGTGAAGTACACCATGTGTCGCATTACTATGGACGAGACATTGAACGAAAAAAATAAAAGGAATAATAAACGACGAACGAGATGAAACGGAAACGCGACTATAAAATGCCTTGATTCGTGTGCGAACTTTGTTATCATATACAGAAGATCGCAAGTAATTTAGACATGTATTTCTTGTGGTACAAGGCAAGCACAAAAATCGCTTTTTATCTTATTTCTCTTCCTTTTTCAGAGTTTTATCCTCTGAGGTCCTCCCTTGAGATTCTTAAGTTTTACTTATAATGTTAAATCTAGTAATACTTATACACTTCGTTGCGTAAAATCATACGTAGAAAAACAAATAGAGAAGTCTTAAAAATTATTGCTTTCCATCATTCGATATTCTATTTACAAATCTATCAGACCTCAAAGGATTAATGTCCTAGATTCGTTTATGATTATTTGTTATTATGTCATTCCATAAGTAATTTTTGGTAAAATGATTAACTATACCGAATTTCGTTAAGCAAGGAACTAATATCTCTGTCCAATATATCTGAAAACTAGAAAATAGAATTATACTAACCATCTATTCGTCGCTTCTTCGAATACACATTTTTGGAAGTAATATAAGAAATTACAACAATAGTTTTCACTTGAAATTTTAATGCACGAAAGAAATCATATTACTTATAGGATGACCTAGTATCAAAGAACATTTCTCTTATCATATACACATTACCACCTATTTTAGAATACAGCTCTGCTTATTATAAGTATATGAAGTTTAATTATAGAATTTAATATTCTATTTAATTCGAATCTATCGTTAAATTTCACAAAACCTTTGAAGAATAAACATTAACATCACCATACAAATAAAGAACGTAATAATAACTCTGCATAGTAAGAGCAGGAATAAAGAAATTTTCTTTTAAAAGAAAAGTGATAAAGCTCGTAAAATCAACTTATTTTAAGCGTATACCCCAAAAATCGAAACGAGATAATAAGTTTGATGGAAGAGAGTCGTTCCATTTGTGCTCAACTTGTACTGTTGAAGACTAAAAAGAATTCTAAAAGTAAAAGAATAAGAGGAAAATTTATATCTAATGACTACCACTAATGTCATCGGTGAAAAAAGGAACGAAAGCCTTAATACTTTAGAATTTTTTTTTTTTTTTTTTTTTTTTTTTTTTTTCCTTTTTTTTTTTTTTTTTTTTGCGCACGAAAAACATATCTCAGAGAATCCAGGAATGAGCGATCGTTTTCAAGCAAAGACTGAAATTGGAATCGTAATACTGGGTTCGTGAATTATACTTCTAAAGTGGAGATCTTCTTGAAGCAGTATAATGAAATGAAAAAGAAAGTTTTTAAAACCCTTTTACCCGATGATTACTTAGGCCGAGTATCGTCATGGAGAATACAGGATATCATAGATTACGATCGATAATAACAACTTTGTAGAAATTCGTTAATTATTTACTAAACACCAAAATAATTTTAAAAATGAAAATGCGTGGAAGAACAGGAATGAACTAAGTAAAGTATTTGCACTGCTTCGAAGAAGAGATTAGTACGTTGTTAGAGAGTGTAGAAAATTTATTGGCTGCACACAAAATATTCATTCTAATGACGAAAATAACACATAGTAGGAAAGGCCCTAAATGACTTTGTACAGTCAGTTAGTCCCAAATCGTCAATTTTTCCACTCCTTGCGAGAAGCTCCAAATGCAATTAAAAGCTTCCACAACTGGGCGCAAAATTTAATCCATAAACGAAATATAAGATCGAGATTCTTTCGTTTCAGAGAGGCTGTTTAAAGGCTTCACAGCTGGTGGGTATTAATCAGTAAAATACAAAGGTGAAAGTAGAAAAACATTCTAGCACGAAAAGCTCGATTTGAATTCAACAAAAAGACAGAGAGCTGTCGGTATTCTATTCTACTCTAAAGTAAAGCAGATGTGCACAGTAAAGGCAAAAGATCGCTCATCCCTGAGCCAGGGTATTATCATGATTAAAGAATTTCGGCATCAACGAGGTTAAAATTCTAGCTACCTAAGTCGGACGTCGCTTGGTGGTGTCTCGTTACGAGCAGAACGAAGATTTGGCAAAACGGGAGACACACCGGGGCACCAAAAACATCCTACGCAACGATAACAGAGCAGAACATCGGTTCTGATTCTCATAAAAATTTAACGTTCTACCATTGGCCACTTGATTTGTTTTTCCTTGTTTCATTAGATTTCCTAGACTAACGCTTCTTTAAACTATGATACTATTACTATTACTTATCGTATAACTTATCAGACATTGACATTACCAATTCCATTCGTCTCATTCATTTTGTACATTAATTTACATATTGGCAACTGCATGTATCAATAAGATTTTAATGTTCGCAAATGCAGTTACTTGTAATATCTACATTACAAGGAGTTTCGATACTAATTATACAAAATACTAAGAAATTGCTGAGACTGGAATGACTGAATAATGAGTCCTTGAATAACGTTTCAATGCAATGACCAAAAAATCAGGAATATTTCCTACTAAGCTACTATTGAGTTTTGCAGAATTTACTCCAAAATGAATACCATCCCAATCCATCAAGACATCTCCTAATTTTCATCAATTTTTTTTTTCCAGGTACTTTCTGTAATACTACAATACTCAATAAATATTTTGAAGCCCTCTCAACCGATTCTAGTAGCATCAAGTATAAATAAGCCAAATGAATGCCAATGTCTAATGTAATTCAGACCAAAGGGCCAATGAAGAATTCCTCGATGTTCTACTCAGTTATACCTGTCTCCCTAATTGTGTATACATGTATATATATCTGTGTATATGCGTGTACGTATATGTACATGTACCGGCAGTATCTAATCGCTAAATAGTGATCAACCGGTTCTTGGAGACAAGTTGTTTTCATTTTTAAGTGCACGTCGCGGTTGATAACCATAACTAATCGATCGCAGGAGAATTAGCGTTAAGTAAGAACGTTACAACACAGATATACTGTATGCTATGTTGACTAGCGGGCTTCATCACGTGACCTTGGTCTTGTTCTTCCTGAACGCGGGGAACAGGATCTTCCGGCGACGTCTTTTCAACTCGTCGTTATCTGTAGTGGAGTTTGAGTCTGTCGACAATGTCTCGTCATCTACCGTTGATGGCTGTGGCTCCTTTAACGCCTTCCTATGGCTACTTGATGTACTCGTAGATGTCGAGGAGTTAATGCTGGTGGTGCTTGTAGTCGTAACAGACGTTGCACCAACCTTTTGCTGTGCTGCTCGATCTTGGTTCGACGAATCTAACGAATTCTCTGAATAAGATGTCTTCGACAGGAATGATGAGGTAGTCTTGTCCTCGATTCCGAGGAGCATATTCGTGTCCTGGCTGTAGGAACGTACGATAGTTGATTTCTCCTTACTGGATGCCCTGACCGGCTCATCTGGTCCATCGCCGACCGTAAAGTGAACCACGTTACTCTCTGGAGGTGTTTCTTTTCCGGTGTCACTACTGGATGAGTCTGGAGGAATCGAAGATTCCTTCCACGCTAGGCTGTCCAATGTACCTAAAGATTAAAATAGAATTTCGTTATGCGTTACATGTATTTATAATAATCGTTGAATTCGTGGAGGATACTTCATTGTACGTATTTACACGATATATTACAAATGATTTAAGCTTTTCCGAAAATTTGATAAACGTGGTTTATAAAGAAACGAAATTTCATATATGTTTTTCGATATTAGACTTAACAGAGCCTAAGAATAGTTGGGTTAACGTAGAAGTTTAATTAAACTTTCATGGAGCTAAAGAAAATTTATATAGAATTAATTATTAATAAATTAATAGAATTAACAACCAATAGCTTAATATTAGTGAGTAAAGAATTTAAAAAACTGGCGAAATTCTTTCGAAAACAATTGAACCAGTTACATTTTTTTATGCCTAGGGGATATTAATGTACTAACATCTTGTTATCGGATTTCTATAAAGATATGTTAAAATATCTCTAGAGAATATTTTTATTCGGCCAAATTGTAATTTTCATGCACTAATGTTAGACCTGCTATCAGAAAAAATGTCAAAGGCCAATTTCATGCAGAATCCAGTTTGTGGAAGGAAGAAGAGAAACAAACAACACAATGAATAATACTCTTTTATATTCTACAGTCAACAGTATAAATTTTGTCGCGGTACTTTACTTTCTCGCTAACAGTATTTGAATAACTTGGAAATATTTGTTTAAAAAACGCAGTGCATAAAAATTAACGATCTATACGTTAGAATTTATGTTTCTAAGATTTTTCTAATTCGTGTCACATTAACTCTGAGAAAACTCAGCATGCGCCTCTCACAGACGCCATACTTTCTTATAAAGCGCAGCTTGGTCCCTTGTTTTAATGAAAACAGCACAAAATCTTTGATAACCATTTTTGACAATCAAATATTTTATGAACCTCTTAATGAAATTTTCTCTTCATAGCATACCGCATTAAATTGACAAAACTTAAAAGAATACAATAAATAGAGAATTAAATTAATCTTTTATTACTTTAACTAGAAAAATGTCTTTATATATTCTGTCCAAAAGAAATCTTCTGATAATTTATCTAGACCCGATTATTTTAATAGCAATATTCATAAATTTCATTGTTACATTTCTCACGCATTTCATCGGGTATTTAAAACTTATAACTACTAAGGAATAACATACTGAGACATTTAACTTAACTTTGGTCTGCAGGTAACAAAAACAGTCACATATAAATTGCGATACAGTAATCATAACGCCAAGTACGTAGCTTTAATTCAACTATCGCTCTTAGTTCGTATAATGCCAACTAAAAAAAAAAAAAAAAAAAAAAAAAACGCAAATGAAAAAGGAAAAAGAGAGAAGAATTTAAATCATTCATAGTAGCAAAACTGTAAACCTATGAATTTACAAAAGTTCAGAAATGAAACATTCGATTTCAAATACAGTATAGCTAATGTCCATCAAAAAGAAGATTGAAATTAAAATTACATACTCGGTTAAGTAATCGATCATCTTGCAACGTTCCTCCGCGGCTTAGGTCATACAAACAAGGCTCATATATCATGGCTCTCGCAAGCTATTTGATTTATTAACTACGATTTATAAATCGTACACAATAAAACGGCGAATAGGAGACATAACACGTGTTGCAATAGTCAACAGACAATGTACGAATCCTCAACTCTTCTTTCCTTGTCTGCACGTGTATCTGTTTATCTGTGTATCTGTGTGTGTGTGTGTGTGTGTGTGTGCGTGCGCGTGTGTGTGTCTGTGTGCAAGTACATAATATACTATACATTAACTCACTGCTCTTGGCATGCTCGAGTTTATAATAGAAGGAAAAAAGCCGTTTCGATTGCCACACGATTCGTGGGAAATTAAAGCGATTTGAGAATGTATTTGTATGCCTGCGTATGTATGTTGCACCTGCGAGTAAAATCCTCGATCGCATACAGTCGCATCTAATTTTAATTGACTCTAATCTTAACCATGACGCAGATCTCCCAAGAAATAGAATTTGCTTCTTGGCATCATTTGTCGCTCGATAGAACCTCAGAAATCAGAAATCACTGACTATTCGAATGTCCGTTCATCTATAGTCGCGATTAAAAATTTCAATGCTCAAGACCACTACCCTCGCCACTTGATACATTATAGCAAATTTTATATTCGATATAACTTGATTCGTAAAATTCTAAGAAATTTCTATAAAACTGATATTACCAACATGCGAAACTTTTGAGTTTAGTTAATTACTTACTTTCGTATTAATCGTGCTTAATAAAGAAAGAAATAGGAACTTTATACGCGTTATAGTTTTTGACGTTACAAATGTTATCGAAGCTTCATTTTTCATACTTTTTCTTTAATTGTCTAATATATAACACGTATAATATTATGTAATATTATGTGAATAAGAGGCAATAAAGTATTAGAAAACAATCTTACTTTTGCTTAAATTAATAAAAAATTCAATAGGAACGAGGAATAGCATGACAGAAGTAATTACGTCATCTCGTGGGAAAGTTGGTCTTGAACGACCGAAATCTTTCGCTCAGATAATAGTTAATCGTCCATTAAAGCCTGTAAGCAATAATCGTAATAGAAAAGATTCTACAGTGCAAACAACGCGCTAGAAAATTGCACCTCCAGAGGTATAAACATGATCATCCAATTAAGATTAGATGCTGTGCTCGCCTTTAATTCGAACTATTAATATAAGACTGTTGTGCAACACTTTGCCGCGGATCTGGCAAAATTGAAACGTATTCTTGGTGAAACAAGAAACGCTCTGACGATCGGTAATTTTTCGCGACAGAACCTAGGAATTATAAATGAAATATTCCTGCTTTGGTTTAACGTTTTGAAGAAATTAAATATATTATATTTACGTATAATAATATAATAGTTGATCAATTATCGGAACTTATCAAATAAAGTGATAATTAAATAATTATCACACTTGGCACTTGGTCATCTTCGATATATTGCTATTAGATACGAAGAGATGAAATAGATACTTTATTATTATAAGTGATCGAACTGAGATCAACACGACCACGATACTCTGAACTGACGAAGAATCGAAGCCGTAGTTGCGATACAAATTAACCTCTGCATAATAGCGATTAAGCAAATTATTTCTATCACTGAGTAACAGATGTTCTCAAGTTTCTCGATGAAAAAGAGCATGTGTCATACAGAACAGTATTGCATAAATAAATTTCTTTTTTAAATTCTTAAAAAGAAATTAATACTTACAACACTTCCTAATTTCTCTAATTTTGCTACGGCTCAGATTTTCGTTCCATTTACAGTTAAGTATAAATTTCTTATGAGGATTAGAAGTAAAAGATTTCTATTTTATATATATCGAAGAAGAATGACATTATTCGTAAAAATATCACACCCTTCTAATATTTTCACATCAACCATTATAATAATAATGGTCTTATTCGTTCGTTTAATACATTGTGAAAATTTTAATACAAAAATATGTCATGTTCTTTCATCAAACTATTACCTAACCTTTTATTTTAGAATTTGTACGAACAGGTAGTTGCAAAAAATAACTCGATATAATTATACTGGTAATACACTGCTCTTGGAGTTATATATATATGTATATGTATATGAATGCGTGTGTAAACTGACGCGTTAACAATAAGCTAAGAGATTTGTCATTGTTTAAATAATTAACACGCAGTTGAAACGTGACAAATCTCGATTAGGAAAGGGGAACATTCCAATTCTAATCCTCCCTTTTCCTGCACACAAATCCTGATTGGATTTCATTAAAAGATCTGCTGATGCTTTTTTTACACTAATTGCATTGTCATGTATTATAGATAATTAAGATCTATTTGTAAGTATTTTCTTAGTACAAAGTACTAACTTGATTGCGAACATTTTGTTTATGTCACACATTACTTCAGCATGTATAATCATACGATTAAGTAAATCATATTTTACATATATTAATATGTAATCATTTGATAAACAATAATTTTTAAATAACTATGACTTTTTAAAATTTTGAATAATACTCCATACAATGTGCAGGATCAATAGTATACATAAAAAAGACGCTAAAAAGTTTTGATTATGTAGCTCCTTTAATCTTTTTTGGAACCACTAAGTATAGTTTCTTCCATCCCTAGAATCAAATGATAATATAACATAAACAAACAATAACCTAATGGAAGCACGAAGTATCAAGAAATCTTTGTATTTTGTCAAAGAAAATAACTTAATTGTTAATTAAATAATTCAAACATATAAAAGATAGGAGTCATTTATGCACGTATATATACTCCCGTTTAACAAAATGTAATAAAACTAGAATTAGTTTGAAAAAAGCCAAAAAAACTGTATAAGCAATATTGAACAATTTGAACAAATTTTTAAACAAAACAACGAGACAACAACATTTACAGCATAATTTACGCAATATTTTACGTAAAAGACACAAAACAGCAACAAATTTTAATCAAACTTAACAATGTACAAAATGGTACTTGTAAAAAAAATATAATCATAAAAAAGTCACTAATATTTTCTTTTTAGTAAATCGCCATAAATCTCACTATAATGTTTTATCGTTAATATTTTTATAAATATTTCATTATTATGTAAAATATTATTTAGGAACAAATTTTTTGTGTTTATTCAACACATTATAACATCTAAATACTTTATAAGTATTAAAATCTTTGTAATGTGTGACATTAGCTATCCGCACCTCTGAGACCAGTAGCATCATTTACAGAAATCATAAATACATATATTTGTATTCAAACTTTGTAATAACTACTTTTTGTATTAAAAAGAATTTAAAAATATCACGTTAATGTTTTCATATTATATTTTAGTGAAAATTTGACTTCTAAATTTTCAATAAAAAGCTCTTACGGCGAAGAACTTATTCGCAATTCTGTTACAAATTTCCTTAAACAATTAGCAAACTAATTAAAAAAACACTCATAAAAATTTGAATTTCAATTCATATAAGAATACGCATCATAATTTAATTTTCATGAGTATTTACGCTGTTAACCCGGAATTCTAATTACAAGAAATTAATGTCACAAAAAAACCCAAATTACTACTATTAGAAGGACAAACCAGTTAGTAAATTATTGATCTCGAAGGCATCTTCCATGTGAGAAAAAGAGAGAATAGAGAATATTTAGGTATCGTAAGTGTCATATCAAAGTTACAATAATATGTACAAATTGAGCATTGTTATTATCAATCTAAATGCTCGTGGAAGTCCGTTTCCAGCTTACCTGCGGCACCACATGATGAAGGTGAGTACACTGAGCTTGCTTCATCGTCTAAGTCATCTTGACTACTAAGTCGACCTATAAACATCAATTGCAAACGATTATTCACATTAATTTATTACATCCAGATTAAACAATTCTCTTGAAATTTTTCAATTATATCAAGGATCTACGAATCAAATTATTAGATAAAATATATATATACAATATTGTTATATATATATTACATTCCTATTTATTTTAATGCTTTGGTATATTACATCTGAACGTAGAGATCAGTTTTTCATTATTGAATATTCAGGACGTTTGAGTTGTAAGCGTTAAAAATATTTTATCATCGTAAACATAAATACCTCTGAGCCCAAGACCTCGTCCGTTTGGTGTCCCTCTATAGAGAACAGTTTCTAAATATGTTAAACCATTATTATTAATTATATTGAAGCCACACAGAAGTTCAATTTGCTTCCAACGATGTACTCTCTCTTGTAATTCTGCGGTGACTTCATTTAGTGCAGTTCTTGCCTCGACTATGCTCTTGTCGACTTCATCGATTGATTTTCCATGAGTTGAAACAAATGCACCCACTAAACTTGATCGTTTTTTTCGTAACTTTTCACACTAGGAAAAATATTAATAAATTTATAATTGTTGCAACAATATATATAAAAATATTTCAATTAAAAAAATACAGATTACTTACTGCTTCTCGTGCTTGTTGCAATTGTTTTTCTGCAGCTATCTTTTTCTTAGTATACGCTTTATTTTCAATTTCGTGAGTTAATTGTAGCCAGTGTTGCAACCCAGGTGGTGGAGACCAGCATCTATCTTCTAATTCACCCTCTGCGCGTTGCAATTCAACTTTTAACATCTGTAAAATAAAAATTAATTACAGTTTTGAATAGATCCAATGCTTCCACACATGAGAATATGTATACCACTTACTTCTATTTCTGCTTTTAATTGAGAAACTTCCAGATCTGAGTAAGAAGCATGCAATCCTACACTTTCATCTTGTAAACGTTTCTCTAGGTTTTGTTTCTCTGTAGTTACACTTTCTTGTTCCATTCGTGCCCGCTCTAATTCTTTCTGTAAATTATAAAATATAATATTGATAAAACCTCGGGATAAAAGAAAATAAAACACGTTAACGTACTTGCAAGTCTTCCAGTGCCAATTCTGCTTTATGTAAACTCTCCATATCCTTCATCATTCTATGAAGATGCTTCTGTGAATTTTTCTTTTGCTGATATGCATACCAGCATCCAATAAGAGCTCCAAATAATAATGTAATTAATATTAAATCCTTCACACTATGTCCAGTATCTGTAAGAAAATATTACATAAATACTATAAATTAATTAAAGATTTTTTTAATAAAAGTTTAATATTTTTAATTATTACATACCCTTTGGTGGTCCAAAAAGAACTACATCCATAGCTTTTAAGGCAATTTTTTGTTTATGGATGGGATCCTTAATTCCCAACACATTACTCAGATAGTGCATATTATTCACAGCCAATCTATAAATAGAATAAACAATATTTAACAAATAAAATATTTTTATATAAAATATTATATAGTATAAATATGATATAGCACATAAAATAATTTACCTTGGAAGTGTAGCACCAGTTACACGATGTTGTATAAAAGTAGGAACATATTGTGGAAGCTCTACATTAGAAGACAACCATTCTGATGTTTGTTCTATGGTCCAATTGTGAACCTGAAAAGAGATACACTAACATAGATACAAAAAAATATTGAAGTTATTAAATATGTAATTATATTTTAGACAATACTTCTGATCTTAACCAGGCTTCCCAGAGTTCTCGAACACTAATGTGCATATCATCATTATGATGGAAAGCCCTCTGCCTCCTCTCATATCCAGCTTCATACTGCAACTCTTCTCGAAGAAACTGGAAAAAGAAGATTGTTTTTTTACAACCTAAAATGTAGATAGAAATAAATACAATTTTTCTTACGTCATCTGACTCTGAGAGGTCCACATTTCCATTGGCATCATCATCTAGTTGACTGTGGAGTGATTTGATAGCTTCTAAACCTAGTCGATCATGAGAAGCCAGTGTAAGACAAGCTAGGTCATCGTTACAAGTATCGGAACCTGTAATAAATTAAACAGCCTACGTTTGATTGTATGTGTTTATGATTACATGTAATTTATTATGCAAGTGCCTTTTTTCTTTAGGGCTTTGCTTGTACCTGTTAAACCAGTGTAAGAAGCTTTTGTCCAATTATTATTAATGCAAAAATGACAATGCAAAAATGTATGTTGTTAATAGACACTGAATAAGTTTGTAATGATAATATATTATTATTGAAATGAATATGTGACTAATCTTCAAATGATTAGATCATATATGAAATTTATTTTCTGCAATATGAGCTTTTATCATAAACACATTTGTATCTTTTTTCCAACGAACAACTACATATATCAAATTAAGAAATAATTTTCTATTTATATTTTTCTGTTGAAGCAAGCTTTGAGAATAATTCCAAATAAAATAATATCACAAACAGAACGTATCTTCTTTCTATAAGCTAAATATTATTACTACTATTAATCATGCAGATGCATGCTGTGTATATCTATTTACATATATACATATATAAAAAGTTTAAATACAAAATTAATAAAACACACAAAATGTTTAATTAGGAAATAACACAATAAACGTAATATAATCAACACTTTCATATAACAGACAAAATATTGATAAATAATAAGAAATTTACCAGCTTCGTGAGCCACGGCTTGTGCTAAACCATCTGTAAGTGTGGCGGAGAAAGCTGTGACTTTGGAATGTGAGCTTCCAGTGGAGCCGGATTGAAAATTCGGGCTCGCATCGAGAGCCCCGCCACTGGCATCTACCGTGTTGCAACACCAATACAAGAAGTGCAGCCCGAACAGTACAATCACATTAGTAATCACGGATGCTCGCATTTTAAGGTTAGCTACACCTTGTCACTGACACCTTGCGCCCCCCCTTGCGCAGTTGCTACAAGTCAAATAAAACCGAATACTCTTGGCCCGTTGTCACCTTTGACGTAGACTCGTAATAGTGAATATATCCAAGGTTACAGTTATCAAAACCGGGATAGCAATGCAATTTGACGAGTGCATAACACGCGTGACCAATTATGATATTACACCAACCCCATAACCGAATGGTACACCGTTGTTATTGGCTCCATCAAAGCATCGGTCAACGTCCGAGATCTCTTTTTAAAATGAATCGATTGATTTATTAATTAAGTACACTCCACTCCTCCGTTCTGTATCGGGTTTTCCTACCAAGGCCACTGTCCACGAACAACATTACAGAAAATTATTAATTTAGATAGGAAACAGTGATGGACTTTCCTGCACATAAAAAACAAAAAATTCAATTGGTTCCACGTACATTTATTCGCGTGATTTTATTGGCCCAACGTTGCACTTGCACAGTCAACTAATGCTAGCGCCAGTACAGCGCGAAAATCATTTCTAAAATGTCTTCTCGCGAAGTGAAGTTGTTAGATGACACAACTGTTAAAAATTTTTGAATATTTTTAGATATCCTTTGATTAATTATTATTATAATTTTTTTAATTAAATCGCTAACTTCGCAATATATTTCTTTACAACATTATTATTAATCATTTTTCAATTTACGGATTTTATATTATACAAGTGACCAATCTGCTCAGAAACACGCTCAGAATTGTATAGTTCGTAAAAACGCACAGTACGTGGGCCTATAGTGCTTGTGAAGTTCGACATTGTTAAATTTTTATAATTACGCAATTTTTCAATTATTTTGTATTTAGATTCATACAAAAATTAAACCTTTTTGAGTCATCAACAAGCAGTAGCTCTAAAAAGTCATGTTTACATTTATGCGCACATATGAACATAACTACGTTTTAACATTGCAATAAATTACCGTTACGTTTATTTCTTAGTGTTATGATGATGCTAAAACAATTTTTTACACAATTTTTCGATAGAATTTTAACGCTAACGCTATAAATCGTAATACGAACATTTCTGATCATGATTTTATGATGTTGTCCTGTCCTAATAACTTATAAGATTCAGAATATTTAAGAGTTCGGAACTGTGAGGTTGCTATTTTATATTTTTTGTGGAGATATTAAAATGGAAAATAATACGAAAAGTGAAGACTCTGAAATTCAGGGAATAAGTACAGTGACCAAAAAAGAGGATCCTTCACCTCAAAATGTACAAAATTGCTCAGACTCGAAAGTGTCCACAGATACTAAAAATACTCAAGTTCGTGTCGTTCGAGGTGCGAAAAAATTGAAATTAGATGCTGCTGATGGCAATAATTCCGAAAAGAAAGGTATTTATATAATTAATTGACAATTTATGTAATTAATTTGAAAATATATATAGTAACCACAGAAATTAACAAAATTGATAATGCTGTGTTTTTTTAATTAAATTTTACTTAATTGAGTATTTATGAAAATTATTTATAATTGCATTTAGATTCCAAGGATGAAGAAAATAACACAGAGGCAAAAGTAAGATCTCTGAAAAGATCTTGTGAACTATGGTCTATGGAAGACAAAAATACCTTTTTTAAAGCTTTGAACGAGTATGGGAAGGACTTTGATGCTTTGCAGAGTTATTTCTTAAGTCAGGGAAAGAAGAAAGGTCTGCCAAATGTTATGATAAAAAATAAGGAACAGATAAGACATTTTTATTACAGAACTTGGTTAAAAATATCAAAACACCTAAAATTTTCAGAAGGTAATTATTTAGTGAATCTACAATGTTATATTTATTTCAATAATGCATATGATTCATTATGCAGATGTAAAAAAAACTTCACAAGAATTATATGGATTAATTAATTATGGTGAACTTAGAAGAAAGTTACCACGAATATATGAAAAAGTACACTTGAAGTTAAATGAATTGATCTATTGGGGTTCAACACAAGTCAGACTTAGAGGAAAAACTATGAGAATTAAAACACCTATTTGTAGAGCATTGCGAAAACTAAATCAGTTGGAAGGTATAATTAACGAATAAAACCTGAAATATAATTCATGAAATATCTAACAGTGTAATCTATTCACAGATTGGCAAGAAGAAATTAAACTTCCCTCTAGAATAACAATTGAATTAAGACCTCATAATAATATGGCTTGGTGGCAGGTGCAAGCATCATCAATGAATCCAAGAGTACGTACCTTACTGCCTGTACAAAGACGTTTGTCTAGTTTATTGATATTTCTACAACAAAGGTGGAGACCAGCAAAATATAATACAGTATCCTTGCTTCAAAATATGTCACCAATATTAATGTTTCTGATTGTATTTTAAATGGTAAGAAAATATTGAAAAAATCCTATACACATAATGCAGTCCCCTAATGTAGAAAATGCTATTGTTAATGAAATGAAAGATTCTCGATTATTACGAGTGGCACCACCTGAAGGATGCAAAATTACCTTGCCAATGGTGAATCTTGGAGAGTATCTCACCAGTAACAGTGTTAGTTTAAATTCTTATGAGAAACGTCTAGGATTAAAAGGTTCCAGAATGGATCTGTTAGGGTCAGTGCAATATTTAAAAGGGGTTGGAAAAAAGGGAATAAAAAAGAATAAAGTGGACAAAAAATGTGTTAATCGCACAGAAGATAATTCTACTATGCCAGACAATAATAGTGATATAGATGTAATAGAATCTGGCAGTAACATTTCAGAAAAATTATCCACTGTTAATAATACTGAAAAATCTAGCTCAGAGCAACAAATAGAATTTAACAGGTTTCCAGGTAGAGAAACCATTGAAAGAATTCGACAGGGTTGGAATGTTGAGGAAGCAAACACTATCACTGTGGGAGATCTGTTTTTAATGGTACACATTTTACCTATGTTTAGTACAGAAGTTTGAGGCCTTAATAAGTTATTTTCAGTCATCAGAAACACATTATTCCTAACTTTCTAAGCTTTTTAGTTCGGTCGCGAGTCAAAAGTCACATTGGAATATTGGTGGGATTGGAATCAACGGGAACAGAACATTGGGGAGTCTACATCAACAAGTTTGTGTGACAGTAATTTATGTGTAACATTACGAAAGTTATTATCGATAGCAAGACATAGTTACGGCACGAGTAAGGTGTATGATAGTTCTTCTGGCAGTAACGAAACTGTGATTTCGTCTCGAGTACTTTCGACGAAAGAATCAACTTTCAGACGACCATTGGTTCCACAAACATATCACAAAATTGGAACACCAGATGCTTTCAAAACACAGTTAGATGTTCGTTATCATTTCATATTTAATATCGTTCTAAAAAATTAAAAACATCTATCGGTGAAGTAATTTTATTTTTAAAAATGCAGAAGTTTAAGACACGTTTTAGTAAACGAGGTAGAACTGTGAGGCAAAAAAGTCTTGTTGTACAAAGGGTTTTGCCAATAATATCCAATGTGAGCAGTCCATCAGAAGATATAACGTCTACTAATCCTCAAGAGGCAAATAAAATAAATGATCCTCCTATAAATAATAATGGTCAACAAAATGATAAACCTCCACCTATAATAATAAATGAATCACAGGAAAAAAATTTTTTGGATGTACTAGAAGTGGTCAGAGATCCAAAACCTACTAATTCCATTATAACAAGTGCTACACAAATACTTAAAGAGGGAGAACACCAATGGTTGAATAGTGAGGTAAATTTCTGATTTTATATTTAAGACTTGAAAACAAGAAATAATATCTTTTTATTAATATCAAAATTAAATTGCAGGTAGCAGATTTTTCATTAAGTAGTTTCTTAGGTCAACTAGAATCCCCAATGAAAATATCACAGAGAAATCATAATGAAGACAATATTGAAGATAGTCGTCCATCATCCGATGTAAATATGAACAATAAAATTAAAAAAAAATTAGATATATTAATACTTTAATCTATTAATATCATTATTCATTTATTAACAGGTTGTATCACATATGCAGTGCCTGATGGGAGAGAATAGCGTTGATTATATGGCAAAATTCGCAAATCTTGCATCGCAAATTGCATCAGATGATAGTAAAAAATAAGAGAAAAATAATTTATTAATTTTGTATCAATTTTAATGAAATATATATTTAAAATTATGTAGACTTAATAACGTTTTATAATTGAAATGTGCAAAGATATTTGGACTGACTGTTTTATCTCTTTGACATTGAGTATAATAACCAAATGTTATAACAATAATAATCATAAATAGAAAATAAAATAATTTATATATCTATACAAGGTCCTTGCATAATATCATTTTTTTTTTATCATTGACAATTTATACTGTATATACCTCGTATAATTGTATTTAACACTTTGTTGCTAAGTACTTAGTCAACATTATTCCAAATAGTTCTACATTATTCCATTATTTTTTTATTATATTTTTTTCTGAGGTACGTAATCGAAATTAATTTTTATAAGTTTAAGTTCTTGCTTTTGCATTGGTCGTACATGAATACTTATAAATATTTCATCTTACGTTTGATGCTAAAGATTTATTGAAAACTGCACAAATGCGGGAGGAATACGTTTATAGGTGACATTTAGCATCTTTGTTTAACCCACAAAGATGACGCGGCATTTGTTTATGGAATCATTTAGGCAAGTTCTTGTGTCTCTTAGAACTGCGTTGCAATCTCATGTAACTAATTACGTGTGTTGAAAGAAAAAATAACAAATTTCCAGTTTACAATTTCCTTTACTGAGAAATACGATTAAATTTTAAATTTGCAGAAATCCTTCCTAGTTTCTTAGAAAAAAAAAGTTGTATTCCACTCACAATTAAACATACATCGAGCGCGATAAAGATGACTGTAAGTATATACTTACATACTATTAGAATTTGTTTAACGCCATCTATTATTAGAATTGAATAATTTAATTTTTAAATAGACTTTCTACTATTGGAAAATACTTTAGAATACTTAAAAATTCTAAAAAGAAAATTTTTTTTGTAAATTTTCACAAGCACTTACATCTGACAATAAGGAAGTATGATCGAAGACTGTCTAAACATATGCCTTGACAATAGAAAAAGAATCTTTATCTGATGATGAGTCAGGAAATAGCCGTCATTATAACACTGCTAAAATCATTACGATATTCCAAAATGATACGAAAACGCTCAACATTCGTATATTCAACTATAATAATTCAAATTAAAGATCGAAAAGGATACAAATTGACCCAAATAGTGATTTTTAATAAAATTAGGCATGCTTGAGAAAATTACAAGTACGCGCCTAGAATGTGATGTGAACGATAATGAGCGGAACATCCCGAGGATACTCGTATTCTTGGAAACGAAGCCTATGGTCTTTTCGACGACGCGTTGCGAAACAGACATTGTAAATGATTCATAGTACCCGCGTCCACGTGATCTTATGCGCACGCACCTATCACGTACTTGTTATTTGCAGATGTGATTTCCTCTGGATGTAAGCACCTTTTACGGATGAATTGGTTTCTCTTGTTTTATCGTTCACAAAGGCTAAATTGTTAATGAGATACACTCACTTAACAGAAAAAGAATATAATATTTAATTACTCGTAGAGATATACAAAAATAAAGTTTAGTATCTTCTCCAGTCTTAAGACAAAGTCATATGTCTTATTAATAATGATAAATTGTGATTGTAGAAACCTATTTTAAGCTTCAATTCATTACTATTTTTTTCTAATATATAAGTATTTCTTATTTTTGATATTGTACGTAATCAATGACGTTGGTTAAGAACTTTCGATTTCTATGAAAAAATTATGAACCTGTTTGACAGTCCGAAGTGACCTTTCCCGTTTCGAAACGCATTCGATTATGCAGAAGTCGAGTTACTACGCTCCAAAGATAAAAAAGTTTGCCGTAAGTCGCGGAAAAAGAAAAAGAACAATCACGTTTCGTTTCAATCTTCTTTGTCCCTCGCATCGTGTCTACGTCTGTCAATACGTCTGACGGGCATCTGCAAGTTTCATTGATATATATTTTGTTTACGAAACGTAACAGTTGTCTAAACCAATTCACATATTCGTATGAATTATAGATAACTGTAAATAAATGTATTCTATATAAGACATTTACATACAAAATTAATTAATGCACATTTTAATGTATTTTTCTTTGCAGATAAATACTTCAAAAAATGATCTTTTCATTCGTAGTGACTGATCGTATTTAACATTTTCTTTTTCACTGTTCAGAATAGGCATAAAACGTCAATATGTATGTAATGTTTACAATTGCAATGTTTGGTGTATTTTTTACATAGCGATAATGAAAAGTTTTCGTTTACATTGCATTGAGTATTGTCACTGGACTTAATATCTTAATATTTTATAGAGATACCAGTTTCAGACAACATGAACTTTTGATAAGTGGTCATAACATCGATGCTATTAAATATTTAGCAATTGTGATTGAGTGACTCGTTTGTATGCAATTCGAAATTTGCATAGGTTATAATTTATTCCAGCGAGTTAATTACATTTTGCCCAATATGAAATCATTTTTTGATTGTATTCGAATAAATAAACATTAAACAGACGACAGTATTTCCGTTACGAATTAAAGACGATCACGTGTAAGATAGTATTTATAATTTTATTTTTATTTTACGCAAACATTGAGCGGTGCATTACACTTTTCAATACATCTTATACGAAAGGTAATTAATTGAATTTTTAAAATATTTGAAAAAGTAATAGATTTTAACCATAATTACTTTCGGTTTATTTTAATAAATGTAGTTTTAAAATATCGTCTATTTAAAATAACTGTTATTGTTTTTTTTTAAGCGAATTAATATGAGATGACTCGATAGTGAAATGAATTGAGATGGACCAAAGGAAAAGCAAAAACGATTAAAATAAAATAAGGTAGAATTAAAAATATTTAGATAAAGTGAAATAAAAAAGAAGAAATGTAATAAGGTGAAAATGAGATAGTTGAAGAAATGGAATGAAATTGAAGAGGATAAAAATGGAATAACATGAGATAAAATGGATCAAAATGAAATGAAATTCAATAAAATTGAAATTAATATAAATGCTATATAATATTAACTTTGCGGTTCAAACAACAGTCTAGTTTCTTAAAATAATAATATAGATACTTTATTCATGACTTTTTAACACATTTATAATGGTAATCACATCTATCTGGGAAGTGAAGCAAACCGAGATACACAAAAACCATATCATAAGAAATGTGGTCAGAGATGCTTTAAGATGAACAGCTATCAAAACGACATTTTCTTCCTTTTATTTCCGTAGTAACTCTACAGGAAGTAACTATACCAACATCGACAAAATCGCGGTTTAATGAAATCATGAAAACTTTAAAAAATCTCCACCACGGATACGAAGAACGGGAATTTCTGAGACCTTGAAAATTACATCCATATCTCTCTGAAGAAAACTCCGTTTGTTATTTCGATTGAAACTTTATTTCAATTTTTATGAGAGGGCAGTGATTCATCCTGTGCGCACACAGCGACCCCGGGCCAAAAAACAAGATGAATCGTATGCAAGAAAACAGGTTCGAAAGTTGTTCAGGAATTTTTTGAGTCTTCGGTGCAGAGAATGAAATCAATGACGTAGATCGTAAATACGTAATCTTTCGATTTTTACAAATTTGTAAAATTCGGTTATACAAAACATCACAATCTCCTCGATTAATGGTAGGACCGAAATAACCTCTGTTCCATTCTCTTTCGTTTCTTTATTAATTTACAACTTCATTGAAAGAAACGAAGCGTTTCGAAAGAATCGATACAGAATCGAAGCTCAACAAGATTTGCGCGATTGCAGTTCTTCGAATCAGTTATTAGTAATCCTTAGGAGTTTCACGGATTGCAGTTATGATAAAAAGCACGTTCTTCCCGCTGTGGAAACGTAATTGAAAGAAAAAGGAAAAAGGAGACACAGGAGAGAAAAAAGAGAGAAAGGTACATCGTAAAATAAAATGAAGACCATGGTAGTACCGACATGTTTACACTCCGATGTCGAGACATCGTGGCGTACTATAAATAAACGAGTCCATAGGCGCCGCCAATGTGAGAGCTTTTTCAAATATTGTATTTTGCCTTGGCGAAAGTGGAAAGAACATTATACACCAATTATAATATACAAATTGAATGTATTAACATTCACTGGATCATTGAAAATATTTCTGGAATGCATACCACAGATAGAGGTTAAAGGATATAATTTCTGTGTGATTGCAAATCTATCTTATTAAAACATGTAAAATGTAAATGTAACAGAACATCCTAAGAAAATTTGGTTTGTATACAAAACACACTGTTGGTGAGTATCTTTTTTTCTCATACGCTTTATCCATTCGATCTATTGGGAATTATGTGACGAACAATACGATGCTATTAATAACACTACTAGAGAGAAAAAAATGGCATCTCTATAAAATCTTCAAACTGCTCAATGTTACCGTGAACGAGATATTCTAGCAAACGGGTATTTTGTAATTAAAAGAATTAAGATTCGATAGCTATTCATATCTTATGAATATTAGATAACCCGTAGATGTCTAGTATCTAATAAGAATATAGATTCGTGGAATTATTTGATAGTAATGTTTTTAAATACAGTAACTAAATTACATAGTATACACGTTGCAGATATTCTTACAAGAAATTGAACACAGTAAAAATGATTTTATAAGATAATTAAATAGGTTGAACAAATACCAATTCTTGAAACAATTATCACCAGAAAAAAATTACATTATTGACCTAAATTTGTATGGTTATGAATCATTATATTGATTCGTAGAATAACATTTCGTTTATAAGAACAACATATTCGCATGAGATAACATTTTCATATTTCGTTTAATTAGCAATAAGCACATATCTAAAATGTTGAGATATGTCTATTTAAAAATTTAATCACTTCTTATCGATATATATTTTTATAAAATTATTTTATGTACAAGCGATTGAGTACACAACTTCTTAGCCATAAAAAAGATATCATAGTTCTGATTATATGGTTTTCCCAGCAATTCGGTAATTTTATCGAATCAGTAATAACCGAAAATAATATTTACACATGTCTGTGTGATGCAAACAAGCGTGACAGTTGGATTTTTAATGAAAATATGGTATTGTATAAACGCCATATTGTATAAAAGCTGTCTTCGAGTATTATCAATTTGGTAAAATTATCGAATCGATCAAAAAGTTATATTGCGATACGTGTTTCTGTTTCAAACTACGTATGTTTGAAAAAAGGATATTTTAAGTAGCACGTATTAATTTTCCACAATATTCATTTATAGTCCACTTTTTAATATAAATACTACAGTATAAATGCAGACTAGAATTTATTTTACCTACTCTACAGGTTAGAATTTCGAATTTAATACTCTAACCTGTTACAGTATAATACTTCTTTTCATATTTTAAGTACGACATTTACATACAACCTATGTTAATTTAGTGTAAAAATACAATGCATAACATTTTTTGTTACTTTTTAGATCGTGTTATGTTCAAGCATTTATACGGAATTCCATCCAGCATTCGTATGTGAACGCAACATACTAACGCAACCGTCCGGGCGACCTCGCTGGACCGCAAAATAATGAAGTCACTCGGGGGATAACCATTTCAAATTAACCATGTTTTCGGCTGTTTTCGTCTTGGATTCTCCGGATCTCGAAGCCGCCGCCAATGGAGTGTATCCGCAATTATTGCGTCAGCTATCGTGAAGCACGTCGCCAATGATTGGCCAGTTCCAAAGAGCGGGAAATCCCCGTTGAACCTGCTCTTCCGCGCTATCCGTCCCCACGGTACTCCCGCTGATGTCTTTCGCGTCATCACATCGTGGCCTGGGGACGCCGTCTTCGTCAGAAACATTCCGACGACTAGCGATACCGATCAGTATCGCGCTGCACGACACCGCTGCAACGTCGTGTTTTATTCGTGATATACTTGTTCCGATCTGTTTCCAACGGAGAGTGATGCGACTTACTCACGGCGCTCTGTGACACACATTCAGTGTTCATCTCCGCGCGAATCGCAATAATTTATTACAAAAATTCTATTGTTTAAATTTGCATTGTTCCTGTTGGTTTAAGTATCTAGTGAACTCGAAAATGGATTCGTTCAACAATTATGATAGAACCGACCTATCAGAGGTAAGATATGGTCAAAGCCGCTCGGTTTAGATAATTTGAATTAGCTTTATGGTGGATAGTAGTTAGTCCTTGCTTATTTTACGTGTCTTTTCTTTGCATTTTAAAAGAAGACACGAGTTTCACGTGCTATCCAGAGAAAAGTTTTTTCCATTACTACGTTCCGTGCGTCGCTTGTGTTCTATAATAAACTTTCTAAGAAAACTGAGGTGTTTTTTCTGATTGAGATTTATGTAAAGAAAAACGCAAAGTTATACAGTAAACTCTTCTAATTCAATCTATATGTGTGCAGCGTAAAGAATAGTTCTATAAATATTCTGAAACAAAGAAATAACTGAAACATTGATTTTCAACGTTTGGTTAAAATGTTCTGGATCATTTAACGTGACGAATAAAAAGAATTGTAAAAAAGATTCTAGATACAAAAAATATTCGAGATTTAAAAAGCTTTAAACAATTTTCTTCTTTAATTAGGGTAAGAAATTTAGAATAAATCTGAATTTAGCGTGAGGTTCGTTTTTTAATTCAAAAAAATTACGAGATCATTAAAGTTGTATTTCTGCAAAAAATTGCAATCGGTAGTAGTCTCATCGAAGTCACGATAAATTAACCGTCTATATTGCACGCTATATTCACGTTTAGGTGCGAAATAAGTGCATTTGTAGATCCAGTGAAATGATTTGTGAGGGAGATAAAAACTTGTCAATTCTACGAAACGGAATAATATGTCCGATGATATGTTACCACTTACATTGGTAAAGTAAATTATTGCACAAATGTTGCTGCAACTAATAGCTGGAATTTTTTGTCCGCGAAAAAGACGCTATGATTAAACATCGGAGAAATTCAATAACATCCTGCTTCCAAATAGATAGATTTATATGTATTAATATACGAGTACAAAATTTAAAAATATCCAAAAATTAAGAAAAAGTTAGTTACTATGGAGATAAGAGGTACATGAAAATGTTATATATCGTTTAATTGCAATTGAGTAACGTTTGTATAATTTAATTTACCAATTTGAGATATTATCATTTATTACATGCTTGATTTTATATAAAACCAAACCTTCGATCATATATTTAAAAAAAAAGAGCGATGTGTAAAACAATAGTTTATAATTATTTGTAAATTATCAATATCCATTCAATACAGATACGTATGTATTCCTACGGAAAATCAGAAGACGTAAATATGTGTTTTCATTACATGCACACACAAGCTAGTTCGAGAAAACGAGATTGCAATGATCTCGTTTTTCTCAGATTCATACGATAAAAAGAGACAGGGCGCTCGAAGACGCCAACAAGGTCATTAACGCAGAAACCCGATTTCATTTCGGATTTGTTTGTCATGCGATACGTTCTGCTTGCAGGAGTACTTTTCGCTTTCTAATGTAAACGACGACGATGATCGTTCCGTATTTGATATGGACTCGCGGAAAATGCTGAAAACTAACGCCCTGACCACACGCAGTTATGAACCCGCTCGAAAGAAATGTTACTTTGGTAATTTTTCAAAAAAAATTTTTTTTAACTATGCCTATGCTTTCACAAACTATTGTATTGATAAATTCTAATCAATTTTTGTATATCTTCTTTCGTTCAAAATCATTTAAATAATTCACTTTAAAATGAATTTTACTGTACTTTTTAATGTTATTATAATAATATAATTTTGTTATTTTATAATAGTTAGTATATTTTGATATACCTATCTCTATATATTTTTAATTGTTATTACACATGAATCTTTTAACGTGTTCAACAGATGATGAAAATAATGAAATCGATGGTACTGGCTGGTCAGAGAAACCTATTAAAAACTGGTCTCAGGACGAAACAATAAATTGGCTGATGTTTGCGGGATCTTATATCGGACAACCATACAGACTGATTGAACAATCTCTCGCAGTACCAGGAAACGAGCTGATCACCTTTACTAAAGACGATTTTATCAATCACGATCCCATGTACGGAGATCTGCTCTATGACCTGCTACACTCTCAGCATATCTCTAACAGACGTATGTAACTGCTACGCGAATATTGATAACTTGAATAATAGTGTAGTAAACTATCACACTGAATAAACATCGGATGATATCTACATAATGTTGTTTTTTTTTTTATCTCGGTTTTTATTCGAAAGCTGTCGTCATTAATAGCTAGTAAAAATGAATCTATATAATTACAGTTCCACCATTTGATAGCATTCACCATCAATCAGAAGATGAATATGCGCGGATTAATTCCAACAGTACATCTGGTAATAGATCATTTCTATTCCTTTTTCCTCTTTTTTTTTTTTTTTTTTTTTTTTAGGATAATTATATTTTTTATAACTGAATATTTAAATTAATTTTCATAGATGCTGAATCAGACAATAATAGTATTGACGTTTCTACTACTAAACGACCACCTGGTAGACCAAGAGTATTAAAACCAAAAAAAAATTGTAAGTATAACATGAAGTACTTTTTTTAAAAAGTTCGATAATATGTAACGATATTTACGCAGCTACTAGCCAGGGAAAGCTTTGGGAGTTCATCAGAGACCTTTTACGTAATCGAGAAACGTGCCCAAGCTTAATATGTTGGGAAGATTATTCTCAGGCGAAATTTCGATTTGTTAAAAGCGACGAGGTCGCGAAACGATGGGGTTCCAGAAAAGGAAACACAAAAATGACGTATGAGAAACTAAGCCGAGCAATGAGGTAATTTTTCACTTGATTATTTACTTTTGTATTCAATTTAAAGATTATACAGTATTTTCTATAGAAAGAATGTTATTTTTCAGGTATTATTACAAAAGTAAAATCTTTCAACCTGTACTCGGCCGAAGATTGGTTTACCAGTTTGGGCCAAATGCAAAAGGTTGGCAAACTGATAATCCAAACTTTCGGTATTAAAGATTTAGGATTTCGTTCGTGTAAAAATTGTACAAAAAGTAAAAATAATATTTGTAACCAATTATAATTTTCTTATACAGGATACATAGTTAAATTGTTAAAACAACTTTTCTATTGTAATTATAGATTTATAAGTATATATTTTGATACCAGAAAAGAAATTGAAAGTATTTTGTTAATTAAAATGAAACGCTTGAACATTAAATCGCAAACGATAATTGTAAAAGACTAAGAAAAAAGATCTAGTATTATAGATAATACATACTGATTAGATTTAAGTAAACGTAAAGAACACATGAATGTAGGAATAAAAATGTCGAGGTTTTTCACATTTTTATATGTGTAACTGAATCTATGGAACAGGTGAAGTGTGAATGAAAATTAATTTAGTCTTGTAAGATTTTTTCAATTTATTTGATTTTAAGCAATATTACAATAGATCGTTTACGTATGTAAAAGTACACATATTATAATCAAGGAAGGCAATAATTTTCCTGACTTACAATCAAATAAATTTACTATTACTTATTTTTTTATATCACAGAGTTGTATTACATACCTTAATCTGGAAGCATAAGTACTTTTTAAATTGACCCTAAATTATAAATAAGATTTAGGTCAATTTCAAAAGAGGGAACTAAATTATAAATTCATAAGCGATACGGCGTCACCTTGAATCTTTTTCTAAAATATTGTTAAAGGAAGTCGAGCAAATGTAGTTGCATTATTTTGTTCATAGACTATATAAGATAAAATATCGGACTTAGTTGGTATTAATTAATTTCCATTTTGTTAATGATTAATTATTAGATGTGAATACTTATTCTACAATAGCACATGCAACAAATCTGGCAAAAATATTTATATTTTTAAAGAAATTCTGGACGATTCGATTAGTCATTAACATTAAATATTGAAATTCAAGATACATAGTATCGCGACGGAAGAAGATATGCGAGTAAAAAGCATGCATATTTTTTTCTAATTCATTCGACGAAGTTATTTATAGGACTGTTAGATTATATTTAATTTGAGCGAACTTGAAATCGTTGTTTGTATAATAAAAGCGTAATAAGAACCCCGGTTGCACTTATTAAATTGATATTTTTACAATAAGTGTATTTTAAAAAAATATTATTTAATGTTATTATCGAGAAATAATTTTTCTTATTTAAAATTACTATTATCAAAGTCAATGAAATTCTTGCAACCGGATAATTAATTATCCAATATTTAAATATTTTTTTTTTTTATTACCACCGTAAGAACTTTTTATATAATTCGGTGGCAGTATAAAATAAAACACTATCATATCACTTTCCTTGAAACTGTTTTATCTTCCAAAATGTTAACTTTATGGTCAATATAACTGTACGTTCAACGACTATCAAAAAGGCACGAATCGTAAACAATCTCTATCATAAAGTATTCATTAATTATGATGATGTCGTGTAAAAGTAATGTGCGTTATGCATATGTAAGATAACTTACGGAAACAATCGATGTGATCTTTGGTTATAAAAAAAATACAATAAAGTAACATAAAAAAAAAATTCTGTGGAGACTATTTATAACTACCTTTAGCAGAAGTTAAAGCTTCCGATCTATACGAGATTATATGATTTCTACAATTTTAAAGAGATTTAAAATGTAAATTGCAATATCATAAAAAATACGATACCGAATGATTTATCTTATATTTTTTGAACCGTGATTTACCTATTATAACTTTTAATGATAGTCATCAACAGTTTTATAGCTAGCAAGCTTTTATGGACCCTATGTTTTTATTTATTTATTTTTTTCCTTTCTTTTGGCACTTACGTCTATTAAGTGGACTTCAAAGCGAATATCGATGACTTATTCTAAGTAATAAACTTGGTTGATATTCTTAATAAGGATTGCAACTATGAGTCCTCGAATATTTCTAACATGTCTACGACAGACTAATTTACCACGTAAAATTTCACCTATAAAAAATTCTTATATTTACTTTCTTATATTTAACAATTAAGATGTTTATATAAATCTTTTATTTAATTTACCTTCAGTAATGCTAATAGGCTCTCTCAATGAAAATACTGTTTGTTTCCAATGTGTTGGAGGCGAGTGAGGTCCTGTACTAAAATGTATTGGATTGTCCAAGTCAAAGAAGATATCAAAATAGCCAACAATCGCAGTCAGCGACCCAGTCTTTTTTACTTTAAATTCGAAAGGCGATGAAAAATTTACGCAATCTTTTGTTACTTTGTATAAATCGAACGATTGAATTTCAACAATACTTGTTATTAATTCATCGGCATTGCAAATTTCTATACTCGGTTCACGAACAACCTCCACTTTCATGCAACTCATTTTAAAACCATACACATTTGACCAATAATCAATGAGTTCAACATATCTTCCTATAAAAGTAAAAGATATCATATAAAAGAAAATTAAACAATTTAACATTATATTCTTTATCTTAAAATAAAATTTAAAAGATTAATTAATTTAATTTAAAACAGATTAATAATGAAAAAATTTACAACTAATAAATAATAAAATATTAAGTATTAATTTAAAAATATTGTATTACTATTATTTAAAAATATTGTATTACTATTATTTAAAAATACATACTTGTATCACCACTTCCCACAATGCTAAGTGTACATCTATTAGGAAGAAGTATTCCACCAGGAGTCAAGTAGTTATCTCTTGCATATATCACTGTATCTAACATACCCTCAAACAAAAGGAAATATCCCATCCATTCAGACACAATTACATCTACTTTATCTTCTTCAAGATTAATGTCTTCAAGTCGACCTTTTTTTAAAGTGATAATGTCACTTAAATTGTTTTCTCTATAGCATGTTAATAAGGATCTTGTTAGATAAGAGGAACTGAATATTACAAATATTACTTATATACATATATATAAATATTTTACTTACCTCACTATATCAATAGCATGATATATTACATCTGACTGATCAACGCTAATTACTTTACGACATCCAGTTTTTGCTGCAAACATGGATAAAATGCCAGTTCCACAACCAACATCTAATATTACACAATTGTCAAATCTATTAGCATTTGTTACTAATGCATCCCTATAACTTTCTGTTCGTACTTTATCCTATAAAAAAAATTGTAATTAAGAACTTATTAATTTTATTTTACAAGATGCAATCCATATACTTACTGTTAACATTTCATGATGTATAACAAAATGATTATATGTATCAAAGTAACTCTTATCAACATTACAATTAGAATTGCTAGAAGAACTGACAGTATTGTTTTCATCTAAATCTCCATCTAAGATCAATTTTTGTACTTTTTCTGTCATTTCATCTATTTGCTAGAATTATATTTGATTTTAATACTTCTTTTATTTAGTATACAGTCATTAAAATCTGTGAATAAATACCTGTTTTGCTAAAAAACATGCTAATTCACGTTGTTCTAATTGTGCTCTAAGTGTTTGTATTGTTTTTTGTAATTCAGCAAAATGTGCCTCAGATAATGTGACACATCCATTTTCTGAATTTACTGTATATGCAATAGGTTTTGTTGTTTTTTCTTCTAAATCTTCAATATCTGTATACATAGAAATAATGAAAGAAAATTTATTAGTATAAAGAATACTAGATTTTATTAAACTTATTTATCTTCATACACACCAAACATTAACCAAGGATCATCTTCTATAACAGGTCTTAAATATTCCTCACTTTCCCACGTTTTTATGCTTAATGCATTTAATTGATCAGACAAAACATTTTTATGTCTGATAAAATTAATCAATTTAATGTAGGAATAAGTGTCTAAAGAATGTTTAATTATAAAATTCTTCAAATCAAATTTATGTGAAGCTATAAGGTGTTCTAGTGCCGTAGAAAAGTTATTTGTAACTTCATTACAAAAAAGGCACGGAATAGATTCTAAATCTTCTGTTATCTCATCCCAATCATCACCGCTATCATCATCACTTGTTCCATCCATTTCACATTCATAATCATCTTTTGAAAGAATGCCTGAAAAGTCAAGAATATTAAAAGCAACTAACTTTACGTTAATAACTGTAGGATTTAATATAAATAATAAAATATATTTGTTCCATCATTTAAAATATTGATCTAATCTTAAAACGTTTATGTAACTTTTTAAATTATTTTTATATTAAATAGATATTATACAAATTTTCCAAATTAGTATGTAATTAATAACTATAAATATTCATTTATGATTATATGAAATATATATATAAATATGGATAAATTAAAAAATATTATCCATACCTTGATCTGTCATTTTGCAATTAATTATGCGAAGAAATGTTCAACAATTACTTCTGTATAAACAGGAACGTTTAAAATTTTCAAGGTTAGAAGTTCGTAAATGTTTCATTCATCCGTACACGTGCAGAAACAGGCAAAACTTTTGGCTTAATGTCAAATCCATATTCTCTATATCACATCATGTTCTAACCAATAAAAACTTTGCAACGTAGGTGATCCTCTTTAAACTTGTAATTTAATATTTATTGATTCCACTCTGCATCAAATGCTCTTGACCTTTGAAAGTTTTTTTTATCCTTGTAGTAAATCCTGTACTGAAATTGGAACACTTTTCCTAATATATAACGGAACTTATATATATGCTATATAAGTTATATATAATTGTTTGTAAATAAAAAAATAAAATAATTTTTTATAAATATAAAATATTTTATAAAAACTGCAAAAGAGACTTAATTATCTCTTTTTAATAATCACTAAATTCAGTAACATAAATAAAATTATTTACCGTAAAATTTCTTACGTATACTATAATAACAATTATGAATGATCAACTGTTTCAATTACTTCTGGATTGAATTTAAACTTCATATCAATTACATCGATAACTGACGACAATTGATTAAAACTTAGATATTTATAAAACTAAGTAGCTAATAAAAAATGTATGATAATTAAATATTGTATATATATATTTTTTAAATACGTTTAATTTTCAATACAAAATTTGATAATGATTTTTCCTCCGGAAATATGGGAATGTATACTTATTCATGTCGATCCGATAACACTTATAAATTTAAAAATAATTTGTAAATGCTGGAAAGACATTATTGATAAAATATTAAAGGTTGGTGATTATCATTTTTATAACATGTTTGTTGTACTCATATATATGTATAAAATAAATTTTAATTTTTAAATGTTTAATTATCTTTCTTTAATTATGCATAGCAAAGTGCCTTATGGTACAAATTGTGTAAAAATGAAATACCTAAACATTTTTGGACCACTTTATGCGAAACATTGAATCCAAATAAATTATATACTAATTTTCATGAGGAACAAGATTTTAAATTTTGGATGTCAATGTATAAATTATGGATTAAATGTAAAAATATGACAAAATATAATGTGCAAGAAGAATATATTAAACCATCGTTAAAAAATAAATTCTCTGAACATATTACTTGTATAGATAGTTCAGGTAATACAAAACATTATCGTACCTTAAACATATAAATTAATATTTAAAATTTGTAACAAATTTTTTTTATAGGTAGTTTAATAGCAGTAGGAACATCTGACGGATTTATTTATTTTTATAATATGTGTAACTTAAGTACAAATACAAAGTATGTAGTTGATCATATGGAATGTGTACAAAGTGTACAATTTCTTAGAGATGGTATTTATAAATTTTAATGAACAAATCTAAACTCTATATCTAATATAAATTTTTAAGAAATAATGATTTACATTTTTCAGAAACAAATACCATTTGTATCTCTTGTTCTGTAAATAATCATATAAGTTTTTGGGATGTGAGTACATTGAAGCTAATTCATGAGACCAGTGGGAAATTAATTTGGTATGATTTAAAGAACACAAAACTATAACCAAGATGATTTATATATTCATTACTAAATATTAAATATTTAATAGTACAAGTTACAGTTATTGCTATATTGCTATGAATAATACAATAAGTATTGAAGGATCAATACCAAAACTAATGTATGAATTTGGTTCAGGTAACATTATTGCTATTGGTGCTGACAACAATAAGGTAACAATGCTACAATATCCATGATGTACATCATAATTTGATTATTTACCATTTAAATTAAAATTTTATAATTGAGGTACTCTTTTATACGGAAAGAGGATACTATGTACATTTGACTTTGGATGCAGATAAAAGGACTTACTCTTATACACATGCTGAACCACTAAATATAAGAATTCATCGTTATTATATATTTAAACCAAATATAATTGCTTGTATTACACGTAAGAAATCATGTATATATAATTATATAAAATTAATAAAACACTTTAATATTTTAATGAATTATTACAGAACATGGGTACTTAGGTTTCTTGTTGCAAGGAAGAAAATGGAAGATTCATAACTTGTTTCCTATGTTACATGGTATACCAACTGCAGTTTTAGTTTATACTCATGTACTTATTTTAGGCTTAGATTCTGGTAATTTTTCTTTTTTATGTAACTTAAGTATATTTAGAATAGAACTAAATAATTTTTTCTTTTCAGGGAATGTTCACATATATTATGTAGAGGATTTTGGCGCAATTAATTTTAATACTATTAATTCAAAAAAATTGAGTCTTGATTCCACAGCTGTCATTTCATTAAATATAATGGTGCACATTGAGGAGTATTTAATTGTTACTTACAGTAAAAAAATCTATATTGTTAAATTTGTTTAGTAAAAAAGTATTGATATATAGTACATATAAAATTTTCTATAAAACAAATTTTATATCAATATCATTCAAAAATATTTTTGTTATAAAAATTTGTATTGCAAAAATACATTGTAATATTAAAAATGGTAAAAATATGTTATGCTTTATAATGTTGTGCTGTTCCAGTTCCATATATACTATCCCATTCAACATAAGTTGTTAGACTTGATTCTGAGACACTAGGACGTACATGTATTAGTGCTTCCTTAAAATCATCAACTGTTACTTGTCTGACATCTTCTTTTCTAATATTTTCTAACTGACTGAATGGAATACTTCTAATAGGACCCATGCTAGCTTCTTTACATAAATTCGACATATCGGCTCCAGAATATCCTTTTGATTGTTCAGCTACATTATCTACATCATTTTCAGTAAGATTATGTTGAACAGTTATTAACAAATTATTTATAATTTGTTTACGAGCTTGAAACTCTGGCAAAGGAACGTAAAGTCTTTTAACAAGTCGTCTACGTGCTGCCTCGTCAAGTTCGTGTGGTCTATTTGTTGCTCCTACGATTAAAATGCGGTCTTCGTCTGCAGTTGCAGCTCCATCCAATTGCACTAAGAATTCAGTTTTTAATCTTCTAGAGCTTTCGTGTTCAGTTTCGGATCGCTGAGTGAGTAATGAGTCTATTTCATCTACAAAAATCACTGATGGCTGATAAACTCTAGCAACAGCAAATAATGCTCTAACCATTTTTTCTCCCTCACCTATCCATTTTGATGTTAAAGAGCTTGCAGATATCGAAAAAAACGTTGACTTGCTTTGGGATGCTATGCATTTACCTATAAGTGTTTTTCCTGTGCCTGGTGGACCAAATAATAAAATTCCTTTAGGTGGTCTACGCAAACCAGTGAAAATATCAGGTCGTAACATAGGATAAACAACTACTTCCTTTATGATTTTCTTTGCGTATTCTAGACCTGCTATATCATCCCAACATATAGTCGTTTTTGAATCCATTATCTCATTCTTTATTAATTCAACCATTTTTGGATCTACATTTTTTAATCTTTCATCTTCTATTTCTATTGTATCAATTTCATTGTTATATATGTTTTCATGTGCTTTTTCCTTTTCCTGTTTAAATGGACAAACAAATTGAGAATTAATTGTTGTCTTTCCACCCAAAGTCTTTTTCTGTACTGATTTATTAGATTTCATTTGCTGTACACTTAGTTCATCCCTAGCAGTTTTGAAAAAACTGGTTTTAGGTTTAGCAACATTAGAATTTTCTTCATGATACGGAACAGAAACTTGTGATTTCAACTTAACATTATTTCTATGAAAATTCCCTGGTTCTTGATTATTTTTAGTTGCTTTAAATGAATCTTCTCTTGCAAATTTAAAATGTGATTTAGGTTCAAATTTAACAGGTCTTTGTCTTGTACAACTTTGATTTTCTTGATTTAGAGAGTAAGATTTAGATATCTGTTGTTTAATATAACTTGTATGTGTATTATTACTTTCATCTGCAGAACTATTGGATGAAAATGAAGATTTATCCATCTCACACTGTCTATTATCTTCAACTCTTCCATTACTATTTATATTTGAATTCTGGCTAATATTTGGTTTTGACTGAATACTGACTTTTCTTTTACGTATTATTGTCTCTTTGTTTTTCCATATATTTATAATATTCTCTATATGTCTGTCACTAAATAATTTTTCATGACATGGCATGGTATTATGATCTTGACAAGGTAAAGGTTTTATAAAATTTAGTGCCAAATCTGTATCATGTAATCCTGATTTCCATTTTTGTGGATTATTACTGGTTTTTGATGTTTGTAACTTAAATTGTTTCCAATAATTATTTACACCATTTCTATTTTCCATTAAACTTTGATAATCTTCTAAGCTTTTTTTGAGCAAACAAGCTGCCATGTCTTCTGATTCACTATAGAAATGATTTATTCATGCAAAATAATGTTTTACAAATTATATATGTTACATTTAAAAACAACACTATGGAACTTACGATTGCTTTGCTGTTAAATATTTTATAGCAAAACATCTGCGTTCAATGTCTACAATCTCTGTATCATCCTTGTCATTTTTTGAAAATTTTAAAATGTGATATGCAGCTAAGAAATTATTTTTCTTCTTACTAATTTCTGCATCAATAGTAGCCATCCCTATTTTTTAAAAATATTATATTAAAGTAAATATAGTTAACTTTATTTAAATTTCTACTCTTATACTTATAAATATGGAGCCACAATTCATATAAATTCACAATAAAATTTATAATATAATAATTATTTATAATAATACATACTTTTGAAGTGCTTTCATAACTATCCAAAAGATATGCTGTATGTACGAAATAATAGCTGTAGAACCACTAGAGCTCCCTTAATTCTTTTTTCATTATATTCAATAATTTTATTATTGAATATAGTTTCTACTATCAACAGTAATCATTAATATTATTATTATTATTATTATTATTTATTTGATAATTTATTTAATAATTAAATTATAAATGCAGATGGGCGAAATCCATTTCGCAAAACACAAAATTCAAAATCACAAATGAGATACAGAGTAAACATATCATTCAATATATATTTTTGGTATTAAAGTTTTTTTGTCATAAGTTAATTTAAAGAAATTATTTTAATTATTCTATTTAATGAATAATACTACAAACGAGCTCGTTTATGACAACACGGAAATGATAGAAAAAAGACTTATCACATTAATTAAGAACAGGTGAAACTTAACATCTTACGGAACTGCGGGTTATATCTGTATTCTGAAATACTGATTATGTGTAAAAGAGATATCGTTATGTTCTTTTCACTTTTCAACGTTAGTAATGACTTTAAAATGACAAAGGATCGTAGTGCCCCCTAAAATATGTGCAAAAAATTGATTGAGTGATCAATTTATTCAATACCTCGATTGTTGGTTAGTCAGTTCATTTCGGAACGATTCGGTTCAATTTGTGTGCACTTTACTTCATCACTCATCACACATACCTATGTGCGTTCCTTATTTTACCAATTACCATATATATTTTACCAACTACTTTACCAACAGCCGTATAGGCTTACACACATTCCCCACTTTATCACCTGTCATATATATTTACATACACTCCCCACTTTAATATTCGCCACATATTTTTGCGCGCGATTCTCTACCTTACCAAGGTATAGTCAAATCAACCGACTTCAGCTTCACTATAGCTGTCGTATTGTTAATATGTACGTGCGTAATATACGCATTTGATTTCGGAATTCGGAAACATTAACTTGTGTATTTGTTGGTTGATCACAGTTTAATGTAACCATATAACCATAATTAATATTATAATTATGATTAAATCTTCGCTCGTGGATTATAAAATAGAATGAGTGAGTTCTATTGTGACAATTGATGGGTGGAAAAATTCAATTGACTAATTGCATCGGTGTCATCTACAGATGGTAAATTACATGCTTTTATTCCTCTTGTTTTCAATCATGACGTAGGATAAAACACTTTTCCGTAGCAGCATTTTTATATGCTTTTATTTATATTTTTATATTTATATTATTTAGTTGTTACTTATATAATTTCAAAGAATCCTTATTTCATAACATTATAAATAGTGATGTGTGTTAGGATAGGAGAAATCTCGGGTGTTTGTGGGAATCCCTGATATTTTCAGAATTCTGTCCCGATCTGACATTTTCGAGATTCCGCACACGTCTAATTATAAAGTAAGTTATAAAGATATTTATGAAAATATTCATTTCTATTTACAGTTCCAGCTTATAAAATATTTATTTAGTATTAGTCCTGCTTCGGTTTTGTATCTGTCACGGTTAGGATACAATGTAATATGTATACGTTTATTGATATAATTCATTTTGTAAGGTTATTTTTAAATATTTTAGAGGTTTATTTTGATATTTTCATATAGATATGTATTTTCATTATTCGAAATTGTCTAATACGATAACAGAAATGAACGATAAAAATAATTAAACGTTGATTCTATAGATTGTAATTGGATTATTTTTATATGATTTAATAAATATCTAATCTATTTAATCTTAAACATCATATCTAATCTCTTTAGGACAATTTTTAATGAATTCTTTTATTTTAGTCGTACAATTTCATTATAGTATTATTTCATTTTTAGTTTTATTTATTTCAATATTATCGTATAAGTGTCTGTGATAATTGCCTGCAGAGTGTTTACATAAAATCATTATTTCTATTTCTTATCTATTATGAAAAGGTTATGTAATATATGATATTATAAACAATTATCTTGATTTGGTTATTGACGTATCCATAAACACATTACGAGTCGTACTCCACTGCTTGTTTCTTTCGGAATTTAATCGATAACAATTATCGAGATTTATGAATTGGAATATTAATAATATTTATTATCACAGTCTTAATTTGCACTTCAGAAATTCCCTGAAATATTATTCTCAAAATGGATCAGAATTTGTCAATTTTTTCGATTACATACTATTGTAATTTTTGTTTTTTCTAGTGAATTTATTTTTTAATAAAAACACCCCAACAATTAACAATAATTTTTAAATACATAAAAGTAATTTAATCGTTCGATAAATAGAACATAAATGAAACATTACATTAGAGATCTATAAGTTACATATTTTGTTTGTGGTATTTAATTTATGTTTAACCATATTTTATAAATGTTAAATTTTATACTATAGAAAGGAATTACTAGCTCATATATTTTTATCAAAATATTCAAAGGACCACCTTTATTTTTTTATCTTATAGAAACCTCAGTACCTTATTAATAAAATTTGTAAAATCGGTAAAAAAAAAAATGTAAAATTTGCTTAAGAGATTACAAGGAATAAATGATGTAAACAGGAAAATGTTGCGGAAATATAAAATTACCAATTGAAAATCCCCGTTAATTTAAGGAAAATATGTATAGAATGATCAAAAGACGAGATCACGTAATTAATTCTCTTGACTCAGAGTAGATAAGCATTGAATATGGGTAACTTTTCCTCTTGAAATCCCCGATTTGTAATCAGCTAAACGCGACGTATATTATCTCCATTTATCAGTATGTGCGAGATTGATCACGGCTACGTGTGATTTTGCCGTCACATTCAAAATCAACTGCAGCAATTCGTATTCTCTCATTTAACAGTAAGATTCGGGAAAAGGTTGATCTCTCTAAATGTGAATTAACGTCAATTTTGAATTTCTTCTTTTTTTCTTTCTGTGAAGATATTCTAAAAATTGACTTACGAAAGTGTATTTTTTATTTTCTAAAAAATGAACGAATTACCAAGATATTCTTTGAAGGAAGTAGCACAACACGATGGGAAGGACGGAGCAAATGTCTGGATTGTAATTTACGATATGGTGTACGATGTGACAGAATACAAAGATAAGGTAAGGGAAGAAAGATACAGAGAGTTATAAGAGAACGTATTATTTATAAAATAAATTACATAGTTTTAAATTAACGACTATAATATATTTTCGAAATAAATTGCATTGCAAAAAATTCGAGGAAAAATTATTGGAAATTAAGCTTTTAAATAATATTCATGCAATATTCAGTATGTAATTAAAGAAAATTTGGAAAATTTCTAATATTGATATTGAACATTCTTTTAGGGTTATTTGAAATAAAGTCTTAAAATTTATTCTAGCATCCTGGTGGACCAGAATTAATCGAAGAGTACGCGGGACAGGATGCAACACGTGGATTTGATGAGTTTGGTCACTCTTCAGATGCGAAACGTATGCTAAAGAAGTTCCTCGTAGGTGAATTAGTGGAGGTAACATACAATTAATTACATACCTTATATATAATTAATTACAGTTGTTAAAATATTCGGTTTATATTACAGGATGATAAAGTAAGGAACAGGAGAAAAAAGAATGATAACACGGTTGAAATAAATCCAGAAATAAGAAGTGGAAGAAGAAGGTATAAAATATTTGTTTAATTAAAGAATAACGTATATTAAAACGTGGCTGTAAAACAGTATAAATGTTAAATAATCACGAATGAAAAAGCATGAAGTAAAAGGTCGTGAATTTACATATAAATTATAAGTAGTATGCATTTCTAGAATGCATTTTTTAAGTTTAGATATAAACCATTTTTTTACATATAAATGTCAACAACGAAATCATGTATAAATTTTAATTGCAGGTTTCTATCAGTATTATGTTTCAAGTGTGTAACGTGACATCGAAGGAGAATTTAACAAATCCCGTGACAGTAAAATTATATTAATTTATTTTATTCTAGAGAGAGAGAGAGAGAGAGAGAGAGACAGAGAAGAAAGCAAGAAAGAGAGAAAAAGAAGAGAGAGAGAGAGAGAGAGAGGGAGAGAGAGAGAGAGAGAGAGAGAGAGAGCTAATTATAAACATTTATTTAGAATAAGAATTGTTATTTTTATTATTACGTACAAGTTTGTTTAAAAAATCGCATCTTAAAGCTTCTATTTAATGTGAAAATTGAGAGAATCGAAAACACTTGCGAAACATTGGCAGCATGCTAAGTGTATACAAATAAAAAATATGAGTTAATTAATGAATTTTGTGAGTGAATGTTCATTTGTCCATATAACTGTGTTAAAATATTGTTCGTTTTGCTATTGTTCCTTTCATCTTATTCTTATACTAAACTTCGATAATTAAAACTTACAATAAACCAGATAATACTAAATAAATAAAAATAAAAAAAGCTAAAATAAATATTTCCTTATCGCCTAAAGATAAAATAACGATTAATCTAAGTTTCTTAAAGAATTAATAAATCTCACATAACTGAATGAAATGTTATCGACATTGAATAATATCTATAATTTTTTTAGCATAAAATAATATACAGAGACAAAAATAAATATGGAAATTAAAAAGTCTTTCTCAATCATCTTTTGTAAATTAAGACCAGTCCTAAAAATAATCAACCATGTTATTTTATTTGCTAAGAAAACTTATTTAACAAATGGGAAAATTTATATCCATCCACCCATTATCTGCCCTGTCGCTTTCGATTTTCCCCTTAATTTTGTTGTGGCTACTGGAACGTTTTCTTCTTGTGGTGCAGGTTTCGTTGGTTCACTGCTTGATGGCTTTTTTTTCTTTTCTTCTTCTTCTTTCTTCTTCTTTTCTTCTTCCTCTTTCTTCTTCTTTTCTTCTTCCTCTTTCTTCTTCTTTTCTTCTTCCTCTTTCTTCTTCTTTTCTTCTTCCTCCTCCTTCTTTTCTCCTTCGTTATTAGTTTTATCGTTGCTCCCTTCCTCTCGTTTCGGTGATGGTTTTGGATCTACTGCTTTATTCGCCGGAATAGTTTTTCCTTTCGGTGATTTTCCGACATCCTCCTCCGTTGGATCCTCCGGAATCGGTGATGGCGCCCTTACTTCTGATTTGGTCTCAATTGTAGCTGTTTTTTCTATAGCTTTCTCCAAACTACCGCTGCTTATAGATTTTAATAGAGTCTTTTTCAGCATTGGTGTTGCGCGACTGGGTTCAGTTACAATCCGAACAGACTTCTGAGATCCTTCACCTTCTTCTTTCTTACCTTCTATAGAAACCAAAAGAAAAAATGAGACATGCACTTGGTTCAAAACTATTTGACATCTTCAAAAGGTCTATTTACAAGCAAAATCTGTTTATATCACAAACATATCATCGCAAGATTTTCTTTTTACAGTTAGTTAAGTTTCACTTATTTCATATTAAACTCATTACAAGAAAAATAAGTCTGTGTATAAGTGTAAAATATGTCTTTTATTATAGTGTATTAAAAAGTAACGTATTAAAGAATTATATAAAAATAGTTAAGTATTATACGCATTAAAATAGAAAAATAAAAATAAAAATATACTCACCCCCTTCCTCTTCCGCACCCGGTCTTGCACGACCCATCATGAATTTCGCATAAGCGATCCTTGTAGTTGGTGATACTTCCAACAAATTCGGATTATAATCAACCAAACGATTAGGATCCAATGACGCCAAGTCTGAGTTTGGATGATGTTGTAAGTGTCTACGTATGCTACGCCTCGTTTGCTTCATAGTAGCCTCGGTCGTGCTACCAATGGGATCTTTTGCGATTGTGTTCTGTCGAACCACGGCATTCCAGTCTTTCTTCTTGTTGGCACTACTCTTGCGACCGATTGCCCTGGCAATTTGACTGAATACGTCCTTTGGCTCCTTCTCGCTTTGAATCACAGCGTTTACGATACCCTCTACTATACCAATCTGGAAGTCTTTTTGGAGTCGGCGTTCCATAACACGACCCTTCTTACCAGATACTAATAAAGAAAATTATTGTAAAATTTCTTAGCTAATTTTCTTTTGATGTAAATGAATATAAATTGATTTTTCAATTATTAAATAATTTCTTCTACATCTTACATAGATGGAAGTCCTATATGGAATACATGAAATTTATATATATTTTCAAGGAATTATAATCTCTTTAAATTTATAATTTAATTTTTATCTTTCACGATCTTTTACTTTTATTCTATAAGTCACTATTTCTATTTTCCTGGAATTACCATATTTTTTCACTTTAATGTGCTAAGTAACTTACTACGTATACCTTGTTTTCGAGAAATTATTCATACTGGAGCTTTAAAGAATTTTTTATGCGTTAGCTTAACAGGAAATAATGCAATAAAAATTGTTCCAGTAAAAGATGTTCAAAACATACAGTGTGAAATTTATTACAAGCACTCAAGCAGTTTGCTTACGCAATGATAATTAAATTAAATGATAAAAATATTATTCAGAGCTTAAGTATGTCTTTTGATATATTTTCTTTCAAAATATAAGCAGTTATTAATCTCCAGCAATAACAAACTACAATCCACGTAAAATAAACCGTACATCACCATTCATTAATTAAGAAAGTAACAAGATATAACAAAGAAATTTCATCGTAAATACCGAATAATTAAACTTTCATTTAATACTCGGGAACAATACAAACTTTAATTGTGCAGTGAGATAATAAAGTAGAGACAATTGAACGTGACAATATGGTGGAAATAATTTGGAACTTACGCGCAGCATCCTGTTTATCGAGAGTCGGTGTCCTCATTCCATTTTGTCGAAGAATATCAATCAGCTCGTATCGTAAAGTGGAGATATCCTGTCTAATCTCCATCACGTCGTCCTCAGTGATACCGAACTCATCTCGTTTCCTTTGCTCGGCGGTAACGTAACGTCTGATAAGTAATCGCATCACTGTATCATGTCTCGCCATTGCCTTTTCCCTTGATTTTTTCTGAGACATTTAAAAAGTGTTCTGTTAGTACAACAACAGTAATAAAAAATGTTAATATTCCTTTGCATTTATATCTTATGCATTTCGTTTCTTTTTCGTCGCCTTTTCTTTTCTTTTTTTAACATTCTTATTCCCATTTAACAATCATAATATTTATAATTAAGAAAAATACACACAATCAGAGATCTGGTTGCACGTTGAGTCTTCCCACAGTTGATAATTTTATTGAATGTTTTTGCAGTTGGAACCATATTAAATGGTGGAGGTACCGTGTCACCGTCTTCGAAGTAACTCATCCATAAGTGACTCCTAGCGAATTTCCATTCAGAATCAGCTCTTTCCTATGAATTATAATCATTCAAGAATTTATTGATTACTTAATAAAAATAAATTCTTAATTTAAGTATTTTATAGTATATTATACCGAGATAATTTGATAGGAGTTGGACATCATGGCAATAAGCATGTTTAGCAATACGATAACGTTTATCACGGAATAAGAACCGAACATTAGTAGCGCCCAAAACCTGGTAAAGCTTTTTATTCCAGTTAGATCAAACGACATCAGGTCTACCATACCGAAACTGGCCCAAAAAAGTGATTGCGATGTCTCGAACAAACTGAAAGTAAAATTATTTAGAAAATCAGTTTTTAATAATGTTAATTAAAAAATGGAGACGTTCAAACATAATGTTTAGAAGATTTTAAAAATTTTTATTTGATGTAGTATTGATTGTAGTAGTTGTTACATACTTCGCAAAACGTCTCCAAATCGAACAAGCTTTCTCCTGATTGTCGAAATCAGGCAAATCTGGGAAGTCCTTCATGTGATAGCACTTTTGTTTCTCCAAGTCCGCATAGTACCACATCAGTTGATTCATTCCTGCAAAATAAAAAAAAGAATTACGCTCTTTTAATCCTTTTCAGTATCAACAGCAATCAATAATTGAAAGATATCAGAACTTCGTAATTCTTAGGAAAATATATTCTTAATATGGAAATAACTCGACTTGAGAGACTGTACAAGCTGAATAAATAAACATCAACACGTTGCTCACCGCAGCCAAAGGCGAATAACACCAGAGTATAGATGAAGAAGAACTTGATAATGTCTATTATCATCCTCCCCAGGGAAATTTGGAGTGGTCCAAGGTGGGGGTTCACACTAAATATGTGAACTAGCTTCAAAAAACTAAAAACAGGCTATATTTTTAATTTCAAATTGATATTACGTTTATTTAAATATTTTACCAGTTAGATTGTACTAAATTAGAAAGAAAAAACTTTTTCAATAGAAAAAATAAATAATCACTGAGCATAGTTATACATAACTGTTAGAGTTTCATTTTTGTAATAGATTACATCTGAGAGCAATTAAGTGGTAGAGCAATTTCGATTACAGATTCGTATTTAGAAAAGTAAACTCTATAAAAATTACCCAATGGATATTACAAATTAAAAATCGTGTTGAACAATGTTATTGCAAATAAAGGAATTTGAACAATTTTTGATTACCTGAAAATCATGCCAGCGGCAAAGGCTCCCTCGGAAAGAAGCATGGGGTCGAAAGCGTGCCACTGATCCCTAGGATACCAAGGGTCTGAGCCATTCCAATACTCTCTCTATTAAATAAACGATTTGAAATTAAATAATAAACATTATACATAATAATAAATTAAATAAACATTGAAATTATTGAATAACTTATTAACAAATAACAGCAATAACAATAAGAGGTAATTATCAAATTTAATTTTTTTTACAACAAAAGTATTAAAATGGATAATAAGAAATATAAAAAATGTGTACCTGAACGACAATCCACGCAGTAAGCCTCAGCATAACCCAAATTACATAGAACACATTCTGAACGAAGTCCACGATGTTCCAAAGGTCCGATACGTATTCAAGCAACCCATCCGACCATAGTGATCGCATTTCTCCGGTAACCAAGCCTAAAAAAATTCAATCTAGTTATC